GGCACTTGTTGTTCCTAATGCTGCTGTGTGCTTGTAAGTATTGCAAAAAAAAAAAAAAATAAAAAAAAAGACTTTTCCTAATGAGCCAAAGGTTCTTGGCAGGGCTTTTGGTTTGTCAGCAAAAGCTCTTGCACTTTGTGATGCTGTCCAATGAAAAGGAAAACTAGACCTTGTCCTTTCTGCAGGCTCTTCTCTGAAGGTAAGAGCAGCTGCCCAGAAAGCAACTGCAGTTCATGAAGGACTCCTTGTCTTCATGTTGAATCACCCACTTTCCTTGCTTGCCCTTAGCTGCTGGTGTTGGCTTTTACTCAGCCACTGTACAAATGTGGGGTCCAGTGGACTCCTAACTCAGTTGCCTGAGGGTGGAGATGGACAGCTAGAAAAAAAAAAAGAAAATCCAAAATAACAAGTATTTTTAAAGCAGTTGTGCAACAGGGTTTGAGTGGGGGGTTGTACCAGTTTGGCCACCTCCTAAGAGGTATGTTTGAAATTCGCTGACAAGGAGTCTGGTACTAGCACTTTGTTCCCATTTTAATTTTACTACACTACTACTTGGCCTTTAACCAACTGAAGCAGCATCTTTTATTCGGTGCAAGTGCTGACTCCACAGTCTTTATCGGGATTTGGGCTTTATCAGCTCTTGGGGAATTTGATCAGTTCAGGGTCTTGCCTTGCTGTGATGTTTCTGGGATTGGGAAGCTCAAAGCTTGGGTCTGAAACACGTTAAAAAAAAAAAAAAAAGTCCTGAACTTGATAATCTGCTCACAAAGAGCAGAGATAAGGGGCACAGAGGGCTTTCCTCTAAGACAGGGCTGCAGAATACCAGAGGGATGATAAGCTAATTCACTTACGGCAAGTTAACGAGCTTGAACACAGGCATAGGGGGAAGGTGCTGCCTTGCAGCTCTTTCTTCTTGCTTATTTGGAGTCTGTCGTTGGCAGCTCGCAGCCCGAAGGTCCCTTTCACACTGAGGAGATACAGAAACGGTTTGTGGAAAGGCTGCCCAGGTGACCCTGTAAACAGGAAGAGAGAAAGCGTGGTAAATGTTCAGTTTGTACAGGAAACACACTGTGCCGATCAGCAGCTGCTGGGGAAGGTGCTGCAAAGGGGAAACCACAGCTGGGGAACCAAGGGAGTTTGACTGGAGGTTGTGCCTGGGCTCTGTGAGGTGGTCAGCTGGGTGCCCAGAAAGGGGGTCCTGGAAGTGGAGGGACACCCGAATAAATTGCATTTGCAGTAGAAAGCAAGAACATCTCCTCCCAGTTCCCAGAAGTATGACACCATCCTGAAAAGAGAAAACATGTTCTTATGTGGGCAGACTGCAGATCAGTTGTTTGCACATGTCTTTCATGGTGATATTTTTTTAACCAGTACTCCCAGTTCTTTGGCCTCGATTTCTCTCTCTTACCCTCCTTTTTTTTTTTTTTCTCTTTTTTCTTTTTTTAATATAAAAAAAGAGGAGGAAAGTGAGGGTGTGCAGGCTTTGTTCCACAGAGCTATATTGCCAGGGTGGCTGGGGGTGTCTTGCCTGCTTGGCTCAGTCTGATCCATGAAACAAGATGAAAGGAAACCTCCTCTCTGCCATCTGAGATGGCTCCTGAAAAAGCCAGACTCGTTCCTCTGGCAATGTTATGTGTGTGTGCCTGAGATTTGAAGAGGTCAGTAAAGAGTAGTTAATGATTGACCCTCTCATGGAACCTACAGCACCTGATTTGGGAGAAAGGATGACTTTAAATGTTCCAGCCCGAACAAATCCCAGTGATGATCTTGACATAAATGATTACCGAGGCAGCCTTGTTCTCACCTAAGCTGTCATTCTTTAAATAGTAACTGGAACTACTAATTGGGCAGTAGAAATCCTGCTGCTTGTATGGGGAGCGCTGTAAAAATAGGCAGCATGTTCTTGTAATTGCTGGTAAAGACTTGTAGCTGCTTCTGGCTTGTCAGTGAGGCAGCGGTGAGCGTGCTCAGCCTCTGTGCTGCTCCTTGCCCGGGTGTCTCTCCCTCCTGTCAGACCTGGCATGCAGGTGGACTTGGCAAGAGAATTTGGGGAGGGCACCCCTGTGGGCACAGAGCCAGCCCTTCCCCAGAGCACTGCTGCAGAGAGAGCCAGGCACGTAGGAGACTTATCCCGGGAGTGTGGCGTGCACTGATGTGGAACAGGATCTGAGCTGTGATCCAGGGGAGCTGCTGTTTGCTGTAACCAGGTGAATTAGGTAGGTGAGTAGTTAGGCAGGTTCTGTGCCCATTAAACTCCTCCTGCGTGTCCTGTGCTGCCATTCACTCTCCTGTGCTGATGGCCTGCTGGCACCTGAATCTGTGCTCCTGGAAGAGACGGCCCTTGGCTGGACCCCGTGTGTGCTGCAAACACCTGCAGCCCCTCCAAAATGTTCTATTTATGGAGGTGGCTCAAAGGATCAGAGCGTGTCAGGGTGCCAAGGGCTGCTTGAATCATTTCCATTACGCCTCAGTGGATCTTCTCTTGTTGCTCAGAGGCTGCTTCTATTTTCACAAACAATTTGTATTTCCGCATAGCACTGTTGCCTGGCCCCTCCTTGGACCTGGCACTGAGCAGCTGTAAACAAGGTGGTTGGTACAGGGTGAAGGGACTGAAGTTTGGTGCCCTATTCCCAGCCTTTCTGGCTGCAGCAAGTCTTTGGAGAGGGCCAAGTTTCTTTGCTGTTTCTGAGCTGTGCCCTCTTCACCTCCTGGTGTTGGTGCCCACTGTCAGCATCACCGGAGGGTCTGCAGCGTGTGTGGGAGCTCCTTGGGGTTGTGTCACTGCTGTACACGTCAAGACACTTCCAGGAATTCCTATACTTCAGCTTTAAATACTGAATATTTCTGTTTTGAGGTCTTTTTCTGTGGAGGGTTACAGATGCTTTAACATGCGCAGCCAGAAGTTATAAGGTCACTGCACTGTTCATGGCCCTCCACCCTTCTTCCACTCCACAGCTGAGCTATCTCTGTACAGTGCTGACACAGGGAAACTGCTACTACTTTCTCAATTCCCCCCCTCCCCTTGTTTTCCCGAGTTTAACCTCTCACCCACATCTGTTTCCTATGAATTTATCTCTGTGGAGAGCCCAAAAGGCCTTGCTGCTGTGGGTGAAGCTGTGAGACTGTGCCTGCCTTACAGAGCTGCTGTCTCGAGTCAGTGTTTAAAATCCTGGGCCACACCAAGAGGAGCCTGTGAGGGAAAGGTGGATGAGAAAGATTGAGAGGTAGCATGAAAACTGCAGAGAGCCTCCCAAGTCTGTCCAGGACAGATTTCTAAGGATGTGACTTGGGAGCCTCAAGCTGCAGCGCTGCCCTCCCTGCCAAAGGGATGCTGCTGGTGGGACATGTGGTGTTTTGGATATTTGTTGCTTACTCTGGCTATCCATGAGTAGCAGGACAAGAGAAGGGACAGATTAAATTATCTGGGGCACAAGGCAGTGGGAAGGAACAGTCATTGCTGCCTGAAGGTGGTTTGAGACCATCTTATCAAAGGTTTTGGTGGGAAGAATGTAAATAAATGCAGACAAATGCCTTTGCCTTCCCTGGAGTGCTGGGAGGGGGCAGAGGAAGGTTTGCAGGCAGCTCAAAGGCCTTGGATATCAGCTGAATTCCTGCTGATACCCGATGGCTGGAAGGTGGAGTGAGATTTGTTTGCAGTGGACACAAAGCTGGGAGGGTAGTTTTGGGCAGCTGGGAGATGCAGGGTGAAACCAGTAACTGCAGTGGTGCTGAGGCCTGGGTAGAAGAGAAGGAGTTGCAAGATGGGGCTGTGTGATCTCTAGAGATGGAGGGAGGGCAAGAGCAGCCAAAGGAATCTCCTCTACGAGCCACACCAAGCAGTGAATCTGAAATCACTTGTACATGAGGGATTCCTGCTAATTAACTAACTAACGAGGGCTCGCTGGGAATCTCCAGTCTCACTTCATGCTGATGGTTGTGTAGCTGACTTCTCTCCCTGTTCCTCCTTTAATATTGAACTTTGTCAGATGAGTTATTAAATATGGAGGAGAGTGTTTTATATCACTGGCTTGCAGCAGCAAGAGAGCAAGTGCTTTGTCATATCAGCAAAGGTTACTCACAAGCCAGATAAGTGCTGGGAGAAGGAGAGGTGGAGCGCGCTGGAGCTGTGGGTTCAGGAAAGTCTCAAGGCCCACGTACTCACTCGAGGAGTTGTAAGCAGCCTTGGGACAGGCATGTAGCAGAAGAGTTGACATGAGACAGTAAAAGGGAACTTCTTTCCTTTCTTTTTTTTTTTTTTTTTATTTTCAACCGTCCTGTTTCTGTCTCGGTTACACAACGTGGGCTCTGTTCAGCGTGGGAGTTTGCATGCAGAGTTCCTCATGCGAGGGCAAGAACAGAAGGCTGGAGCTATTATTGATCTGCATGACCTAAACCCGCTCTGAAAGAATAGAAAATGCTAATTAGGGGGCGAGAGTTAAAAGATGCATCAGTCCTTTGACAAGTGGAGAAGGCAGGTGAGCTGCCAGCCCTCCTGGGAGCAGGGTAATTAAATCCAGGAAGGATTTTTCAGAGCCAGGGCAGCCAAAGCAGGGGTGGCTGCTGCAAAGCCATTCCTCATCCCGATGCCTGCAGTGAGGGTAGGAAGCTTTTCATTTGAGCAGGCTGTTGCTCAGTGCCAGGCCTTGTCAGCCCGGAGTCTGGAACCAAAATAACTGATTTGGCTGTAGCCGTCACTAGTTTTGTTAGGGAAAAATCTGTGATGAGGCCATGACGGCTGTAAACTAGGAGGAACCTGTTTTTGAGTTAGTCCCTTCAGGTTCTGCTGGGTTTAGTCCCCTGTAATTGCCAGGCCCTTGCTGTAGAGTTGCTCTAATAAATTAACGAACCTCCATTGTTAGGTTTTTACCCTGCTGCTGCATGGGATGCCTGCACATCCTTTTCCTGCTCAAAGAAGAGCTCATCAGGTTTCTCCTGTCCTCCTGCTGCTCTCCTTCTCCATTTCTCACCGATGATAATAAAAAGTGGAATGTGGGGGCTGTATGCCCAGCGTGTTTGGCACCCTCTGCGTGGGGCTGTTCTCTTCCCTCCTTGCCGCAAACCCCATCCTAACGCACGTTCCTCTCTCGTCCCGCGCAGAGGACACCGACAACAGCTCTGAACACGAGAACAGCACAGCTGCAGAGCACAAATGGCCTTCCTGCAACGCCCAGGATGAAATGCTGAACTTGGCCTTCACCATCGGGTCCTTCCTGCTCAGTGCCATCACGCTGCCCCTGGGGATTGTCATGGACAAGTACGGGCCTCGCAAGCTGCGGCTGCTGGGCAGGTGGGTGTCCTGGGCTCCCCGGGTGGGTTGAGGGGTGATTTCCCACACTATGTGGGGCAGATGGGTGCTGTTTGGGTGCTCTGCCTGTTGTGGTGTCCCTGCAGTGTTAGGAAGAGTATGAGGGATGGGATGTGCTGGTAGCTGGTGGCCACGTACAGGGCTGGGATGTTTTCAGCCAGCACAGTGAATTGCTCCATAAGGGAAGGGCCTGGAACTCCATGTCCACACTTCAGCTCTCCAGTGTTGCTCTGTGATCCTCATCCAGATGGAGCCTGGAGGGAGAGTCATTTGTGAGTCACGGAGGGGAGCTTTCTCCTTGAGCTGGGAGCTGTGTCCTGGGAGGCACAAAACCAAGATGTTACATCATTGTTTGCAGGCTGGGGAGTTAACTTGGGAATAAACACATCCTGTTGCCTTTTCTAGGGCCCTTCTCTTCCATGTGGTGTGTGTTGCTTTCTGCCTTAAATAACAAGGTCTTAGCTGCTTCCATTGTGGCATGTAGGGATTAGTGACTTGTTGGGCTCAGTGGATCCCAGCACTGCTTCAATTGTCACGATTTTAATGCAGTGAACTTGATCAAAACCCAAATTGGCCTGTAGGCACAGTGGGAAAAACAGGGCAAGTCTCTGACTCAAACCCTACCAGAGAGGAGCTGTGAGTGCTGTGACCACAGCTGGGGCTCAAGACAAAGGCTGCTGCTGTCTTTGGTCACCTCAGGGTGCGGGCTGGCAAAGCTCTGCGGGGAATTTGAGTCCAGCCAGAGCTGCGTCATTACTGGGAGGAAAAGTTCCTGTCTCAGCCCTTGTGCAAGGCTTGCCTGTAATATTTGTTTGTCTATAGCATTTGGGTATTTCCCTGGACTTTTCTTTCCAGATTGCCAGCTTCCCTCCCTCTTAGAGAAATCACACTGTGCTTGCCTAACGAGGCGCTGAGGAGAGGGAGGCAGATGTAATTTACTGCTGTCTGTGAGAAACTCACGGGTCTGGTTCCCTTTCAGTGCCTGCTTTGCTGTGTCCTGTGTGCTGATCGCGTACGGTGCCAGTAACCCAGACTGTAAGTCAGTGTCTCTCTGCTGAGCTGGGAGGACTCTGGGGCTGTGGCTTGGGGTTTTTGGGGAAGCAGATAAGTGTGCTCACACTGTCACACCTCCGGTGCTGCGCTGGGGTATTGCTGAGCACACGAGCCAAGCCTCTGCCAGCCTGAGGGAGCCAAGTGGCTCTGGGGAGGGCTGGTGTTTCACAACACTCAGTGGAGAGCACAGCAAGGGCCAAATGTCTGAGATACCCAGCTCTCTCAGCTTTGTCATTGGGCAGGGACAGGTCCTGTAAAGGAGCAATTGCAAACAAGTTCATGGCTTTTTCAGGGTTGGGAAATAGGTAATAGCGCACAATGTGTAAGTTGTTTTCTTGCCAGGGATAGCTGGAGCCTGCTCTTCAAGACCAGATAGTGACATGATGCTTTAATCCAGCTCTTTCAAGTAAATCTTCCTTTTAAGACCCATCAGACAAGCTGCATCAGCTAGTCATTTCCTTAGAAAATAGAAACCCTTCCATTCTGGGGAAAGATGATCTCATCCTGAACTCTGTTTTGAAGGAAAGCCCTGTCCCTCCTGGTCTCTGTGGCTGGGGAGATGGGTGCTGGGTCAAGAACAGCGTGACATGTCCTGAGGGTGTTGATCCACTGATGGTTTTGTGTGTCAGGGCCAAAGCCCTCAGGGCTCTTGTCTCCTTTCCCTCCCCACCCTAGTGAAAGCTAAGGGCAGGTTTTTTATTGTTGCAGCTCTGTCTGTGCTGATATTCATTGCACTGGCTCTGAATGGCTTTGGTGGGATGTGCATGACCTTCACATCGCTCACGGTAAGTGAAGTCAGTTATTACCTGACTGTTCTGTCCCTCACTGTGCCTGTGAGCTGGGCTGGCAGGAAAGAGCAGAGGGGATCTTCTGCCCGTGGCTCGAATAGCACGTGTTTGTGTTTGGTACAAAGGGTCAGTCACCCTTGGGACTGAGAACTAGGTTGTTATTCTAAGGCTTGTTTTCCCCAGTCCTGTTTTTTCACCTGCCCCTTGTATCTCAGGTGAAGGTTGGGGGGGAGTAAAAAGGAAGTGTTTTTGTCTAGGACTCACATTGTCATATGCCTGTATGTGCAGTGCTCAGCTATTTGGCACAGCCTGGACGTGTGTTTGCACTGGATTTAGCATTGACATACTGCAGGAAGAATCAGCATGGCACAAACCCTTTGCAGCTGGGTATGACCAGCTTTCTGCAAGCACAGTTTGCATCTCGCCCCAGGAGAATGGTTGTTCCTGAGCACAAAAACCTTTTGCTTTCTGAAGGGTGAGAGTCCCTTGCAGGTTTCCTCAGAAATGCTGCATTGTTGAACGTGTCCAGCTCCATCCGTGCAGCCTTCTGGGATATGTTTAGTTTATGGATCTTATGGAAAGCTTTGGTCAACAACTGTCAGCTGAATCTCTACATTTTGGGGTTCTTTTTGCCTGGAGGCAGAAGCAGTATCATTCTCCAAATAACTGCTTTATTTTCTGCCTCATTACCCTGATTGTTGTCAGCGTGGCTGAAACAGGGCTGGGTGGAAAGTCGCCCAGAAAACGAGCATGGGAAGCGCTGATGTTTTTTGAGCTGTGGTCAAAAACTTTCAGATTTGGACTGCGCTACCTTGAACTTGCTGTTGAAGTAAAACTTCCTGTTAAAGTTACCTCTAATTTAATAGGGCTTAGGCACAGGCTGAACGAGGCTTAGACACTGGCTGAACTCCTGAGACCTAAATTTGGCAGAGGCTGGGTTTTGAGAGCACTTTGTGTACTGTGATTTTTGCTGTTGCCTTCGTGTGTTCAAAGCTTTCAAAACTCTGTGCAGATGTTGCTCTCTCCTTCGTCTGGGGTGTTCTTCACTGGGAGCCTTGGCTGTGATCCCAAGGAACTGAGGGGCAAATGTCATCCTGCCACGCTTCAAATGAAAGCAAGGAAGAGAGGAGCACATCAGAACTGCTGTGGGAGAGGGGGGGATTCCCACCCTGCTGCTGCCAGCATTGGTTATTGTCTCTCTGGGTGATTACTGAGGGGTCACACATTATTTTAGAACCACTGGTGATGATAGGAGCGAGGGCAAGGATAAGGAAGAAATATGTTGGACGTGCTGTACTGTGGCTTTTAGCACCAGAAGAAGTGAGCAAAGCCACTTATTAGTACCCTCATTAGTGAGCCAGTTCCACAGTGCTGAGGAACTGCAGGAAAAAGGTCAGGTCTTCCCAGAAGAGATCCAAGCCTTGAGGAGGTCTGAAGCCAGTAGTGATGCTGTGAGATCACAGAGGGACGCCTCATGTGGAGCCCATCCCCTCCAGACATCAGTGTGTTTTATAAAGAGCTGAGGTGGCTTCAGGCCTGCCTTCTCAAACCCAGAGTCAGGTGTTGCTGCTCGTGCCTCCCTGCACAGCTGTGCATTTTGGTACCTGGGGCATGTGTATGTGGTTAAAAATAATCTAAAGTGGGAGGGAAGCACTTCTTCACCTGCATCACAGCGTAGCTGTGCTGGTGTCTGTTTGAAGCAGCTGTAGTTTGGTGGTTGGCAGATCACTGAGTGGTTCTGCCTGCAAGCAGGGGAGCTTGCAGTTGCTGTGCCAAGAGCCACCTTCTGTGGTGACACGGTGATGCCTTGTGGCTTCCTTCCAGCTGTGGCCCACAGAGACAGGCTGTGTGACAAGGGAGAATGGCAGGAAGCTGAGTCAGGAGGTTTAGGCTGGATATCAAGCACCCAGAGGGTGGTTGAGCCCTGAACAGGCTCCCCAGGGCAGTGGTCACAGCACCAAACCCTGCAGTTCAAAGGAGCATTTGGACAACGCTCTCAGGCACATGGTGGGATTGTTGGGGTGTTCTGTGCAGGGCCAGGAGATGGACTTGATAATCCTGATAGGTCCCTTCCAACTCAGCACATTCCATGATTCCACAGGGATGGCAGGTCCACGGCTTGCAGGCTGCAGGTGACGTGGCTCGTCCGCGCTGTGCCCTGCGCTGTGCCCTGCAGAGGTTGGAGTAAGCACTGAAAGGGGAGGCTCAGAGACCTTTGTAAGGACGTTTGTCACCAGGGCGGTGAGCCCTGAGCAGCTCCTGGTGCCAAGTGACTCGCTCTGGCTGACACAGGCACTGGCTGCCGGGCACACACGTGCACGCACAAGTCACAGCAAGGTGACTCCCTTCTCCTGCCAGCTGCCCGTGTCCTGAAGTGCTCCAGGAAATGGGTCAATCCCAGTGGTGCACGAGCTGCTCTTCTGCCACCCTGGGTGGGTTATGGTGGCTGCTTCATGGCAGGGTATCCATAGGGGAGCCCCTGCAGTGTGTGGGGTTTGGGTGCTCACCCCAGGAGCTTCATCAGGTGCTGGAACCTCCTGGGCCACACCTGTGTGGTGTGATCTGGTGGCAGGGCAGGAGATGGGGATCCTCAGTAAGGGATAAACGGGATCTCTGAGGGGTTAGAGCCTGGGACAGCACTGCACAAAGCTTTGCCTCTTGAGTTTAAAGCCTTTTTCAGTAACAAGTCCCCGGGGTATCATGAAAGCACATGGCAGGCTGTGGAGCCAAAACAAGCTGCCGTTTCTGGGTGCCTTGTCTGTGGTTTTGGGGAGGAGGGGGGAGAGAGCAAACGGTGCTGTTCCCAGTTCTGGGAACAAGGTCAGACTGTGCCTGTTGTTAATATGCAGAGGGGAGATTTCTGCCTCGTGACTTGGTCTTAGCCAATATAAGTGAAGATTGGAAATGGAAACAGATCTGTGTTGGTGGCTCTGACAGCAGCACAGGGATCTGGCGCTGGTTCTGCTCCGAAGCTATTTCATGCAAAGAAATAAACATGTGTGATAAATTACCACAAAGAGCCTTTTATAGATTGTTCTCTGTCCTGTTTTCCTTTCAGAGAATTACAGCTGCTTTGCTCTTATTTTCTGCTGCAAACAACCCCCCTATAATCAGGGTGGGGGGAGCATTTCTGTATAGGGAATCTGCTTGGAAATATTAGGGAAACTTAGGGCTCTCTGAGCTTTTGTTTGTTGGAGAATGGGAACAAGAATTTCCATATGCTTTGAGCAAAGCAGGCAGTTTGAAGCTTTCCTGGAGAACATATTTTTAGTGTCTGTCTAACTTCCAAATACACCCCCGATAGGGAAAACAAAGTTTAATTGAACAAAAATACCATTCTCCAGTAGTCAGGTTCTCAATCCCTTTGACTTCTTCCACTGTTCTTTCAAACAATCCTTGCAAGAGGAGGGAAACTGAGTTTGGTACTACTGTGGTAACTTCTGTGTATGGATTATCTCCAGGAAAAAGCTGAGAAAATTATAAAAGGTGATCTTAAAAACTCACTGTAGGGCAGACAAGAAAATAACCTGTAAGAGGAAATTATTTATCAGTGTAGGATTACACACCTGCAATAAAGGATTCCAGTAAAAGTTACGTATGGAAACAGTTCATGTCCTTCTGACAGGACGTGAAGTTAATAGTATATTGAGTATTATTGACCTTTAAACAGGAGGCTGAGGAGTTTCTGTCGTCATCAGTCTTGCAGAATAGGAGTTGTCATACCAGAATGGGCAGAATTTAGTGGAGGAGTCACTTCTGGCCTGCAGGGATAAGACAGAAAGAGGATCAGATCTTTATGGTGGCAGAAAAACAAAGAACCCACTTGCTCTCTGCTGCTTGTGTTTTTTGTAGGGTTTTTTTTTCTTCCCTGTGGTTCATTTTTTCCAATGCTTGCTGCTATAAAGACAGCATGAAAAATGACTTGGTAAATATTGCTTGTTATTTTAGTAGCTGGTCTTCGGCTGAGATCTGCCCAGGCCCTGCCAGTGTTGGCATTCACAGTCTGAGAGGTTTTCTGTCTAGGTATGCACTACTTTTTCCCTTCACCTCCCCTCTGCCCCTCCAGGTAGTCTCACATTTGTTTTTCTTCCCAGTGCTCAGTGTTTGCAATTTCTGTTTTGATAGGGTTGGATAAGACCTTATATCTCATCTGTCCATTTTCTTTTAATTTTTTTTTTTTTTTAATCTAGCTGCTTGCTTGGTGCCAAATTGGATTTTAGGAAATCTTTAGCCTTTCTAGGACTTCTGTCCCCATTAAAGCAGAAGCAGACTCGGATTTTCCCAGACAAGGTTGCCTGCTCTGTGTCTCCAGTAGCCCTCAGAGCAGGAGGATCCACCTGGGAGCTGCTTGCCTTGCTGTATGAGAAAGGCTTTTTGTGGTCTCTGTGTCTCTGGGGAGAAGCAGCCCGAGCCAAGAAGCAGCTGTGTTTGTGGAGCCCTTGCCCTGCTCCGAGCTCCCCAGCAGGAGCAGCTGCTCGTTGTCATTTCTGGACATCATTTTGGGTTTGGGCTGTTTGAGATGAGGCGAATGCCCAGCCTGGTGACAGCGACCAGCCCTTCTGCATCGTGCAGCCACCGCATCCCCTGCAGATGCCGTTCCCCGGGGGGTGTATTTAGGCCGATGCTTCCAAGGAGAGATTTTTTCGCTCCTGGTAACAGCCCTTTGGATCCTTCCCCGTTTCCTGCCTGCAGCTCCTGAGAGCAGCCCTGCTGGCAGCTCTCCCGCATGCGGGGATGTGGGAGGGGTGTGGGGATCCTCTGCAGAGCAGTGCAGCGTTTTCTGCCCGGGGTTCACCGGCACATCATTCCTGCTGCTCCCTGGCCGGGGTTATCTGAGGATCTGGAGGCTGCATTGCATAGGAAGCTCTGCAGTGGGACATGGGGATGATAAACAGCCAGATGGATCCCGGAGTGTGCCTGCACAGGAATACTCGTGTTGTAAACACGCCGCTCCTGCCGTGACACCGGCCAGATTTGCTTGCCTTATATGCTGCTCCTGGGAGAGATGGATTTGTTTTTCAGCAGTGGAAAAGGGGGAATGTGATGGCAGCATTTGCTCGCTCAGGCTCAGTCTGATGTTCTCTGAATTGTTTTGTGCAGTGGCCTCTTTACACAGATAAAACGCTGGTTGTGCTTTCGGTCCTAGAAGGCATCTGCAGTGTCCTGCTTTGAGGTCCTCTGAGGCTGATGTGGTAATGATGCTCAAGTGAATTTGGGGAGTAAGTGACCCAAAAAAAAGGAGGTGGGAGGGAAATCTGTCTGCCTGGAGCACAATCTCTGCCTGTTGACCAGCTTTGGGAGGTATCAGCCGAGCTCTCTGTAGCCCAACAATTTCAAAGCTCCTCCCTGTAAATTTTCAGTTTCCAGGCCATCATTGGTGAGTGATGGAAACGTGCTCGTGTCTGGTTGTTTGGGAGAACAGGGAGTTACTCCTTTAAAAGGAGGTGGGAAGGCCTCCCAGCTCTTTCTGCCTTTTTCACTCTGCTTTTGGGTCCTGAGTGGAAGCAGAGGCTGGAGAAACAGCCTGGCAGTGACTGTCCTGTTGAGGTGGCAGAAGTGGCTGCTGTGAGCTGCTTCTAGCTGTCCCTACCAAGCATCTGTTTGCTTTCCCAACAGATCCTTGCAGAACCAGCCTGGTCTGCTCCCAGCAATGCCAACACACCTGATGGGAGCCCAGGCAGTGAAGTGGGGCGGGTGGCAGGAGTAGCAACGTGAGGTGCTGTTGTTTGCTGCAGAGTTCAGCAGCTGTGTAGCTGTGCTGAGCAATAAACCCTTGGATATCTAGTGTTTGCTTTCCTGCTCCTAGCTCCAGGATAGGGTACTTGGAGATCTGAGCCATCCAAATGATGCAGAAATTATCAGCTTTAGATAGAAAGAGTCTGCTCTCCCAGAAGAGCCATGGAGATAGCTAGAAATGGAAATGCAAACAGCAGCAGGGTTCGTGTTTGTCTCTGTTCCTTCTTGTTATAACAGGAACTTTCTGGTCTACTGGAAACATTTGGGTGCTGACCCCAGGTGCATAAACAAACCTGGCAGTTCAAGGTGTTGCAGGGTGTGTTACACTGTGGCTATCACGGCCTGTGTCTAACAACTTTTGACTTAAGAAGAGGGTGATGCACAGAGAACTTGGGCACGGGTTTTTTGGAGAGGAAAAGGGGTGGTGGCTACAGACTTGGGGTAAGGTACTCTTAAAGACAGTGCAAGAGCTGGAGCAAACACTCCTGTGCTAAAGGTGACCAATGCAAACTATGCTGTCAGTCTGGAAAGAAGCAGTGTCATGGAGCACGTAAATCTCGGATTGTAAACATTCCCTGTCCCTGGAGACACCAGTGCAACCTGCAGAGTAATATCCTAAAGAGCTAAGTCATTCCTGAGTAAAACTGGCTGCTTCACATCCTGGTATCCAGGAGTCTTAATCCTGAATGCCAGTATTGTCCCCAGAAAGCCTTGCTCCCTTGGCACCAGCCCGCTTCAACCGATTTTTCTCTCCCCAGCTGCCCAACATGTTTGGTGACCTTCGTTCCACGTTCATTGCTCTGATGATTGGCTCCTATGCTTCCTCTGCTGTGACTTTTCCAGGAATCAAGGTGAGGCCGTGGGATCAGGGCTCCTGACTGGGGGTGGTGTGCTGGCCTCTTGCACCGTTTAGCAACAATGTGGCAAGAAAGAGGCACTCCTTGCTAAAGCCCTTTTTTAGAGATGTGCATTTGCAAGATTCAGTTCCTGTCTGTGTATTAAAGACTTCCCAAGTGACCTCCTCGAGGGTGCAGCAAATAGATTTTAAAAGTGCTAAGTTGAAGTAACAAATTTCTTAAAAAAGATCTTGAATTTTCCAATCTCTAAGCTGTGTACATGTGTATTTTTTTTTAATACACACATATACACCTAATCTGTGTGATTGTCACCAATGGTTGGCTTTGAAGATAATTTATTGATGGCAGATGGCACTGAGGGGACAAGAGACAGTCACCTGAGCTGCCTGGATAGATCACTACTGGTTCTGAACCAGAGATGTTTGATTGCAGGGTTAGCCTAAGGGGGATATATAAAGATAAGCCAGTCTCAGGTGTGCAGGGAAGTTCCTGATGGCTTTCCAAGTAGAAGGTTCTTGTCACAAAACTGGGGGTTTTTTTGTTACCACCTGAGTTCAACCCTTTTTAAACGTAGTATGTTCTTTCCCACCGGTTCCTCTCAGACCTCACTCAAAGAATATTGAAGGATCTTTCTACTCTTATAGCCAAAACCATGTTCCCTTGTGATTTCCAGGTTATATATGACTTTGGGGTCTCCTTCATCCTTATTCTGCTTGTCTGGGCAAGCTGTGCAGGACTTGTTTTCCTCAACTGTTTCTTCAACTGGCCCCTGGAGCCTTTCCCAGGACCAGAAGACATGGACTATTCGTAAGTTCCCTCTATCCTGGCCTTGAGGGCTAATCCTGTTCTTAAATCTCTAGAAAGTGTTGGCACAAAGAGCTTGGAGGAGAGGACAGGGAACTCCCTTGCATGTTGTTTATTGCTACCACCTCTTAGGCTGAGGATTTATGTCTGCCATTAGCATTATGTTTTATTGGTGAATACCAGCGGAAAGTGGAACTTTCCAAAGCGTAGGAATTACGGAAAAATAATCTGTCCATAGTCATAAGTATTCCTACATTGACCTGTGCCAAATTGGCCAGGGGAAAGCATCTCTCTGTGCTCTGGATCCAAACCATGTGTGGGTTTGTAGATGGAAACTGGTGCCTTAAATCCACAAACAGCCTTTCTGACTCTTGCAACTTCGCCGCCTCCTCACCTGTGTTGCAGCTCTCATGCCCTTTGCTACCCAACAGGGTGAAAATAAAGTTCAGCTGGCTGGGATTTGACCACAAGATCACTGGGAAGCAGTTTTACAAGCAAGTGACGACTGTGGGGCGCCGTCTCAGCGTGGGGAGCTCCATGAAGGGCCCCAAGGAGCCGGCAGCCTTGCAAGAGAACAACAAGCTCTGCCTGTCCACGGTGGACCTGGAAGTGAAGTGCCAGCCTGACAGTGCAGGTGTGGTTCCCCGAGTGCCCCAGGGGTGCTTGTGCTGGCACAAGCCCATTGGCCTCTCTGCTTTGCTCCAGACCTGTTCATAAGAGTGATACGTGATCCAGGTGTTGCCAGGGCCACGTGCCAGCCACTGTGATGGAAACACAAGTTCAGTTATATAAGGAATCCTGTCCTTGTATCTTTGCCTAAATAAAACATTTGGTGCAGCCAGTGGTGGGGACACCATCATGGCAATGGGTGTGGCTGCAGGAGGACAGGGCAGTTGGTCACTGCTGTCTCTTAGGTGGACTGTTGCCGTCATAGAATGGTTTGACTTGCAGGGGACCTTAAAAATCATTTCATTCCACCCCCCTGCCCTGGGCAGGGACATCTTCTACTAGCCCAAGTTGCTCAAAGTCCTGTCCAACCTGGCCTTGATGGTGAAAACAAATGATTTAAAGTTTGCTTTTGTTCTAAATCTACTGAATCAGGCAAGTCCTCCTTGCTGCAGTTACTGGTACCCAAACTCCAGGCATCTGCATCTCTTCATTATAAAAGTTTGTGAGGCAACTTCTTAGAGCTGCCACTGGCACGCAGTGTTAGAATGACTATTGAGGAGAAGACCTGCTAGGCCAGAGGTGGAAGCCTCTTCTGAAAATGTAAATGTTTACCAAGGTATATTGCTTTCCTCAGACTCTGTTATTCCTTCTGCAGCTTCTCCCTCCTTCATGAAGAGTGTCTTCAGCCCTATCTTGCTGCTCAGCCTTATCACCATGTGTGTCACTCAGCTGCGGCTCATCTTCTACATGGGAGCCATGAACACCATCCTGGAGTTCATGTCTGGAGACAAAAGTCAAGGTGAGAGGACCTCCGAAGACCTTTCTTTATCTGCCTGCTTGGAACTGGGAGCTGCCCCAGGCTTGGTCCTTGCAAGGAGCAGCGGACCTGATTGCTCAGCAGACACACCGTGTGTGGTGTCCAAATGCACTGGCAGCTGCTGGGAGGGTCCAGCCCCGGGCTGGAAGCAGCCCAGGACAGAGGGGCAGCGAGGTAGACGCTTGAATGTCAACCTAATTTTAGCCCTGTGTCTGTCAGATACCACTCCATGTTATTTCCCCGGGTAGGTTGTTGAAAGCAGCCTCTCAGGGTGGACTGTGCGCGTTTTTATTTTAACTGGAAAACCTATTTCATCAGGTGTTTGCTCTCCTTACCCTAAGCAAGCACAGAGTGCAGAGCAGCTGACTCTCATGACTAATGGTTGGGCTCGGTGGCTCAGCCAGGGGTGGGAGGAGTGAAGTCAGAGCTGTTTTGTGCAGCTTGGTGTGTGCTGGGGAGGCTCAGGGGTGCTCCCTGCGCCGGACTCCTCTGTATTTATAGTTCTGATGCAGCACATGGAGCAAACAGGAAAGAGTACATTAGTTTACTGTTGTTCAAAATACCCACCAGGGTTGCAAAACAAGACTTGGGCTTTTTTCTTTTTTTTTAAAGTTGTTTTTGTCCTTTGTAGTAAGATCCAGTTTGAACTTGTTAAATCTGGATTGCATGGAGCTGATAAATCAAGAGGCACTCCTCTGAAAACAGGAGTGAGCTCTGGGGGAGGGAAGAAAACTCAGGAAACTCCAAGTGCCCTGGCATTCCCTGAATTGCTTTGTTTCTTGAGCCTCTGACAGCCTGCAGCATTCAGCTCTTTATCTCCTGGCTCAGGAGCCAATTTAGACATTAAACAGTAAACAGGACAAACTTCCCACTGCCTACCTTTCCCAAAGGTGCTTAGTTTTCTGCTTACCTTGTAACTCTGACACTGGGGGGTTTTATTATTGTTATTTATTTATTTTTACCCTGGCTTGCTCCAGTTATTTCTCTTTCATTTTTTTTTTCCTCTCCTCCCCTCGTTGGAATTTTATAATTAATATTCACTATATAAGCTGCCAATTCTGTTTAGATCAAACTCTGTGCTAGAACAGGGCTTGTGCCCCTTGAGTACAGTGCGTCTTTTCTGTGCCGCCTTTAAGATTTCTTCCTATTTTTTTCCCCCTCCTCCCCCTGAATTAGCCTGGGCTCAATGCAATGCAGTCGCTGTCTTGGTGTTTCCATGGCATCAGCAAAACAGTGGTATTGTCTGCTCTCAGCAGTGTCAGGCTGCAGGAGCACTTCCAAGGCGCGTGCAGCTCCCTGGAAATGTAATCTGTGTGGATCAGGAGAGGATGGGATGATCTCTCTGGTCCTTCTTACGTGTCTCTGATGTGCTGAGAGAGCTCCCTCCACCTGCAGCTGCCCTGGGGAGCACTGAGCAAGGGAAGGAGGGAGTTGAGTCAAATCCTGCAAGTGCTATGGTCAAAGAAAACTTCAGCATTCCTGGGAGCAGAACGGGAGAGAAGGATGTGGGGAAAATCCTGCAGATAGGTAGCAATGGCTGTTAAGTTGCAGTGAGGCACAGTTCTGAAAAACGGTGAAAGTTCTTCCTGTGCAGATTATGGTGACTTAGAGCTGTCATGAAATCTAGAAGTGGAGAGGGCAGTCAGCCTGTGGCTGCTCAGCTTCTGAAAACCCTCAGAAGATGGGGAAGAAGCTGAGGGTTCAGTAGCTCTGTAAATGACTGTGTAATTGTCCTGTGGGAAGGCAGGAGAGAGTAGACCTGTTGTGCCTGGAACTTGAAATGTGGCTGTGCTTTTCATAAGTTGTCATCTTGGTTTCAAATGTGGTGACAGTGGCAGACCTTGGTTAGGATCAGGGCTGGAGAAACTCAGCTGTATGATGTGATTGCTTGGGATAGCTTTGAGGACAAGATGCGTAGAACATGAGATGTGAAGGATTGTGCCCTTGTGTGTTCCCTTTGCCTGCACAGAAGCTCCATCCAGCCCTCTGCCATATCTGCTTCTGGTGGTATTTGGTAGGTGTTGTTCTGGCTTTTTTTCCTCAGGAGGCTCTGTTTTGTAGTAGCTACTGTCTTTCTTTCTCTTGCTGACCCCAAAAATTTCATTCCCTAATTCAAGTTGGCCTTTGCACTTGCTGTTTAGAGCCCAAGATTAAGTGTTCAGAAGAGCAGGAAGAGGCAAAACATGACAGCGTGGCTTGCTTCTTACCTTCTATTAAAAAATAACCAGACAACAGTAAATCAGCTCCTGGAGTGTTCATAGAGGGTGATGCCACCTGTTTCTCTTGGCTGCAGCAGTTGCTATAATGAGAGGGGATGTGGGGTCACTCCAGGGTTTGCCTTTGTGGGAGTAACAGGGGTTAGTTTGGAGATTGGAGTTGGAAGTTCCTCTTGGTTCCTTTGCCAGCAACTGGAGCCAGGAAAGTATCATCAGGTGCCTTGCTGAGGTTTGCTACAACTGCATAGGAAAGAAAGGCTTGTTGGAAACTTCTCTCCATTACCAAGTTGATTGGGGTGTAAATCCCAGCTGTACTGCTTTGGCCAGGCCTAGAAATGCATTGGGAGGGACAAGCTAAAATTTGGTTTAGTTGTTTTGCTTGCAGTGCTGTTACTTGTGCTCTGTGCTGAGATGGGCAGTTTCAGAACTACATCCTTAATTTCAGAGCTGTGGCACACCATGACTCACCAGCCCTTCTGTGAAATGCCTAAATCGTCACATGGGCTGCTGAGAGGAAGTGGAAAAAAGCATTGCAGGGTGGGGGAACTGCTCAGTAACAGGAGGGGACAGTTGTTCTAAGTCTGCTGGCATCAGCTTTCCCTTAGCAAACCATGGAGACACTTCTCTCATCGTTAGCGTGTGGGAAATTTCATCAGTTCGAGTTTTTCATGATTGCTCTCAAATGCTGTGGTTTTTTTTGCTGCTAATCTCCCCTCCTCCTCCCCCCAGACTTGTCCATTCAGCACAAAATGAGTTAGTCCTCACCTTCCCAGGCTGATTGTCCTTGCTGGAGCTTCCCAGCTGGAGGGGATGTAACTGCAGCTCCCAGCAAGGCAGGAGAGGAGATGACTAAGGCAGGTCTGGCTGTGCAGCACATAAAGCTTGTGAGAACTTTTCCTGTCTGTGCTAGCCAGAATAAATCTCCCTGGCACTAAGAAGTTGGTGTGTCCCACTTTTGGAGCCCTACCTGCTGTTGAGCTGCTGCTGCTGCTGAGGGAATACTAGTGCAGGATCAGAATGGCTGAAGGAAGTGTGCCCAGTATGTCAGGTCTCTGGGAGGCCAAATGATGGAGTGGGGCTTTGGTATTCCAGCTCCTTGAGCTCTGCCTGTCATCCTGTGAGTCCAGGAGGTCTGGGCTCTTCAACAGAGAGGTGATCAGTGGGGATAGGAACAGGATTTTTTTTTTTCCTATTGCTGCTATGGTATCACTTGGACTAACAATTATTTTTAATTTTGTTTTTTTTTCCCTGCAGTGGCTCTCTACACTTCCATTTTTGGGGTATTGCAGCTGCTGTGCTTGCTGACAGCGCCTGTGATCGGGTGCATCATGGACTGGAGAATGAAAGAGTGTGATGATGGCTCGGAAGAGAACGAGGAGAGCAACGCTGAGCAGTGCGTAGTGAGCTCCCCATGGGACAGGCAGCCATGTAGCAGCCCCCACACACACACTCTGCATTATGTGTTTTGTGATGAAAGACTGAAAAGATTATTGGTTCTTCAGTATGGAAAAGAAAGCCTGAAGGAAGACTTGATAACTGCAGAGGAAAGGAGCAAACTGTCTTCCATGTCTACAAAGATCAGTCAAGAAGAGCAAATTTAAATTGTAGCAGGAGAGGCTCAGGTTTCCCTCCTAGCCTAAGAGTGATAACAACAGCACTGGAACAAGTACCCAGATGTTCCTCAGCTTCCACTGATGGAGATCCCAGCCACCTCCATAGGCAGACCTCCAGCCGAGCTGGTTTAGATAGAGTTGATGTGACATGTGGAGAATCTTGCTGTGAGTTCCAGTTGCTGCTGAAAGTACTTTTGTAACAGGGGGTTTTCTGTCCTTCCAGAAGTGACAAGAAAAAGAAGAAGCGTGACCGTCAGATCCAGAAAATCACCAATGCCACCAATGCCTTTGTATTCACGAATTTCCTGCTGGTTGGATTTGGAATCACCTGTCTCATTCCTAATCTACCATTGCAGGTGAATGGGTGAAATGGGTGGGGGTGCTGGAGGGGTTGGCAGAGCGGGGCTGGGCAAAATGACAGGCAGGACAGTGGCAGGAGAGCTTTCTGGCACTGCTGGGGAACTTCTGCACTGCTTGGGAAATCTAAGAGTTGTAACAAATAATACCATGCAGTTTACATACTCCTGAGAGAACCGAAAGAAACAGCTCTAGTTAAAATGTCAGAGTTCACCCAGAATTTATTCACACTTGGAAGCTTCTGCAGCTGAGCTGCGTAACAACAAATACTTTCCTACCAAGATCCTCTTCAGCAGTGCCTGTATGTTTAACCTGGGCTTGATTTAAGCTGCTGACAGCTGGAAAATTTGCTGCAAGAAGCACAACACAGGGTTATATGCAGCAGGTTATTTCTGCGTCAAATGCTGTGCCCAGTGGTACCTGTGGGATTATAAACCTGTTAAAATATTTATTTTGTGGCACCACCTATTTTTGGCAGAGGAGTTTAGTGATTTTATGCCATACTTAAGCATGCCTTGATGATATAGGCAAACAGATGTAATTTGCTCATACCTGTGTGTTGTCCGCAATAACCTGTGGAAAATTAACTAAACTGGTCTCCACGAAAAAGCACTTGTGATCCTGGTCACAGGTTGCTGGGGACACGTCCCTGCAGCAGTGCCATCTGCAAATGAGAGAGGTCCTGTGTGTGGTTAACTTCAGAGACCCTGCAAAGAAAGGAAAAGCAGTGCCTTGAGACAAGGACAGATTTCTTCCCTTGTCCTGATGATGGGTTTTGGTTCTGGGTTATCCAGTCCCACCTTTGTACTGGAAAGAAGAGCTTTTAGGAATGGTTGTGTGTTGGGGTGTGGCACGCCTGGGTGGTATCTCGAATGTGACATTTTTTTCTGCTCCTCTTTCCAGATTCTTTCCTTCATTTTGCACACAATCGTGAGAGGGTTCATCCACTCAGCTGTGGGAGGCCTCTATGCTGCTGTGTAAGTCCCTGCTTACCTACAAAATGTAGCTGGCCAGATAAACTGGTTTGGGATGAGAGGCTGTCCAGGTGAGAGGGAGATCAGGAAGTGAAGTCTTCATGGTCAGAAGGGAAAAATGATGCAACTTGTTTCCACAGTCACCACTAGACACGACAGTAGCTGGACTGAAGTCCCAGCTGGTGCTTTCTTTGTTTAGCAACAGCCAATCCCTTTGGCATAGCTACTGCTGTGAGACAAGCACAGCTCTTTGTGGGCCTCAGGTGAGACAAAGGTATTGACACTGAGGTTATATAGTAAAAACTCAAGGCTGTTTTTGTCCTACAATGAGCAGATTTGTGCATGTGCCCGGGTAAAACATTAACGTGACTGAAAACATCGCCACTGCTCTGCCCTGCTCTCAAGTTACGTGGGTAAAGCATTGCTCAAGGTAGCATTAGTGATGCCTCCTCCCTTTCCCAGGACAGATCATCCCTCCTGTTGTTACTGTATCAAAATTATCGATAGCTGGATCTAAATCCTCTCTTCCTCGTTAAGCAACGTTTTGAAAACAGATCTGCCCCTCTGTCCTGAGCTGTTGGGACAGAGGAACAGAAAGGAGATGTCCTCTTTCAGGGGATCACAGAATCATTGAGGTGGGAAGGGAACCTCTTGAGACCACCTGGTTCATCTCTCATGCTTAAGCAAAGTCAGCTAGAGCAGGTTGCCCCAAATTGCATCTGGTTTTATTTTGAATATCTCTATGAATGGAGACTCCACAACCCCACAGACTCCTATCAAAGGTTTTTATCCCAGTGTTTGGGGAATCCAGACTAGAAAACCCACCTAAGACTCAGCTTCAGAAATGCATGAACTTTTGGTTTCCTGGCAGCTAGAAGTCAAAGATTTTGTTTTGAGCAAGGTAGATAAGTGTATGTTGCTGTACATATCAGCTTGCTTGTAAACTAATCCTGTTTGGCCATTGCAACTCTCTGGAACTTCCTAGAGCGAGGTATTTTTGCTTTGAATGTGACTTATTTAAATATTTGAAGGCTTTGATCCACTTCTTTCTTTGCTTCCAAGCTTAGTTTAACCTGACCCTTTTTAAACACTGCTCAGTTGTGGAAAGAGAAAGATATCAGACGGTTCCTGAAATTTGTTTTTCCATTAGTATTATCTGATAGTCATCAATTCAGTCAACAGGGTTATTTAGTTTGACATAGGATCAGACTTGTCCTCTAAAAAGGAAAACACATACCTGTTGTGCAGGTTTCACTCACTTCCAAAGGGAGCAAATTGTTGTGACCAGATAAAAATGATTGCTCAGCCACAAGTGCTGTCATTTGGATAAAGAGGCCCTGCTTTCAACTTGTAAATATCAACACTCTGCTCCCTGTGCAATTGGAACAGTAGTTGTATAAGCACTTCCACCTGCCCACAGTACAGCTGCAAAACAAAACAAGTTCTGGGTTTTATATTAAAGTTGGAGAGCTTAGGATGAGAACAGTCTGGAGAGGAAGGCTCCAGCCTTGGCACCAGGGCCACCATCAGGTATAGCCAAATACCCTGTAAAAAGAGGTAGGTATGCCTCATTCCAGGAGAGAGAAGTCCTGCACATTATGCCTGTCTCGGGACCATGCTCTCAAGTCAGTCTCTATAAATTAGTCTCTATTAGTTGACTGGGAATGCAATCTGATCTGGGTGATGTGAACAGTCAAGGTGACATATAATAATGCTGTTGCTCTCTTTGTTGACAGATACCCCTCTACTCAGTTTGGCAGCTTGACAGGGTTGCAGTCGTTGATCAGCGCCCTCTTCGCCCTCCTGCAGCAGCCTCTCTTCATGGCACTGACGGGACCTTTGAAAGGAGACCCCCTTTGGGTAAGTTCTTCTCAAATTTAGTGTGAAAGCTTGGGTGGTTAAGATGGTTTTCGGCTCATTTCTTGGAAAACAAAAGAACTGTGCATGGATCAAAGTTAAAAACAGCTGGACTTTTACCTGTCCCTTAATCTGCTGTTACCTTGGTGCTGTCCAGGAGACCCTTCTCTGTGACTAATGACTCACTGGGAGGGAAAGCCATTAACCCTTATGCTGGTGTATGGAAAGGGGGGAAGGGAATACTTTCCACTACCAGTTTATGTGGTGAGTCAAAATCTGTCAGGTCAAAGCGAGTGAACGTGAGGAGACCTCAAAATACAACAGAAATACTCTGATCCTTGAGAGCTCTTAGCTCCATTTACTGGTAAATTTTGGATTGCTGATGCTCATGTCCAAAAAGCCAAATAGGCTGTCGAGGGGTAGGGGACATGGGTGGAGAGTTCTGGTCTCTAGGCTTTGTGTGCCCATGCCAGCAGTCTGTTGCTCTTCAAGCAGCACACTTGGTGTGAAAGAGCTGCAGCTTTTTCTGTGGAACGAGACTCCCACAGCCATAATCCTGAGCAACAAACTCTTACAGTATGTAGCTTGTACACATGGTGCTCTGGGCACAGGAGTGTAAATACAAGAACAGTGGAGAATGTTGTCAATACACTGAGCAGGGCGTGTCCTGGTTTGCCCACAGCTGAGTGACGTGGGCTGGGTTCTGACAGCGCAGGATGCGTGACTGGGCTGTCGTCCTCCCTTGCCTGCCTAATTTTGGTTTGCTTTCTTTCCTGCAGGTGAATGTTGGCTTGCTTGGCATGAGCCTTCTGGGTTTCTGCCTTCCCATCTACCTGGTCTGCTACAGACGCAGGCTAGAGAGAGAAAAAAAGCAGAAGATTGAAGATGCCAAACTTTTCTTCAAAATCAATGGCACTCCCACTGAGGAAGCCTTTGTTTAAACTGGTGCTTCACATACAACCTCCCCTGTACAGGTTCCTACCACATCCGTGGGTTCTACCTGTGGTGTAAGCCAGGATTTTCCTCCCCTGGCTCTGCCAGTCTTTGCTCCTCACTGGAGTGAGGGCCGGACATCGTGACTGAGACTTGCTCAGATGTATGGCAGGAGGAGACTTCCTACTCCTTACTCCAAAACACAGGACACTTTCTCTTTTTTTTTTTAAAGGCCACACAGATATTGTGTCTTAAATTATCCCCTGATTACACTCTCCAGCAGCAGAGTTTGCATAGGAAATTGGGGAGAGAAGGAATAGAGGGATGGGAGAAGAGGGAAGACAGGCCATAGTTTGAGTTTGCAGATGTAAGGCAGTGCAGTCTGTTTTCTCCCCCTCTTCCCCCAGCCTTAGCTGACACAGTCTCCGATGCAAGCTGCACTCCCCTCCCTCCCTGAGGCTTCATAATGGTCTTTCTGCTTGATGTGTAGCTGGACCCAGTGGTTTTACTGTCTATCCAGACATACCCTAGACTGTTTCTGAGGCAGGGAAGGGGATCTTAATCCTTTGTGTACGAGCACAGCTTCAGTGTGTTGCTAAATGTTGGCTGCTAGCACTGACAGCTCCCAAACCTTTCATTACTGCAAATGACACAGACTGTGAGCAATGGATCTGCCTTCCATAATGAAAAGAAGAGCCTATAGTGGACTGCTGGTCCTAGACCAAGCCTTCAGAGGCCTGGAATTCTTCCTTTACCCAGTTCACAAACCACCTGTACGTGTTCTAAACTGTCTGCAGTCCTGGAATCCTTGAGATAGGAATTGGATCTTGTTTACAGATGAAGTGCTTTTGAGACTTGTTGCCTTTTGCCTCTTCCCTTTGACATGACCCTGGGAGGGGAGCAGCAGTGTGTACTCAGTAAAGTGGAGAAGCTTCTTGAAGCTGAGTTCTGGAGCTCCAGATACCTTGGTGTTCACGTGTTGTGAGCTGGTGAAAAAAATCAAGGGTGCAGAACACTCCTTTGTGTCTGGTAACTGGATCCTGTGGACATGGCAGGGTGATGTGGTGATGTAATTTTTCCTTTAGCCATAGCTTATTTACACTGCTCTGACAACAGTCACCAGGTTAGTGTGACTGACCAAAATGCTGCCAGTTTGGCTGTACTAGGAGCCTTTTTGATGCTCTACCTGGACAGAGCACGTGGTGATTGATTGTATGGTGAAGCCGACTGTCAGAGCAATACGCGTGGGTAAAGGTGCCCCAGGCCTGTTCACCAGGGAGGGAACACAAAGGGAATTGTTAACCTGCTTATTTTTATAGGGGTCTTGTTTAAAGCAGGCTCTTCTGCCCTTAACCTTCTTGCTGAGGTCGGTAGCTCAGGCCCTGTAGCCTTGACTTGTGTTCACACTGTGGGACCTGCTCAGAGCAGGACTGTGCAAGGGTGAGGAGGAGCATCCCTGGTGGGAGCGCTGGGCTGAGCTGGTGGCTGCAGGAAGGTCGGGCCAGAAACAAAACAGTTATGAAGATGTGGTGGTGTTTTACTGCAAAGCCTGGCAGGGAGTAAGTCTTTCAACTTCTCTGTGTCTGGTTGGAAAAGTACAAGACTCAATCGCTGTTGGCGCTAAACAGAGGATTAGAAACAACACCGCGCTCAGACCTTCCTGAGAGAAATGACCTGGAAACTGGGTGTTAACTCCTCCCCTGACGGCTCAAAGGGTACAGATGCTCAGCCCAGCCGGGGCTTCACCTTTTCCTAAAGAGCAGGGGAGCACAGAGCCTGGGCAGGGCGGCTGGAGCCCTGCGGGTGCTTTGCCAGTGCAGGATGATGAGGCAGCTCCGTGGGACGGCAGCGCCATCTCGAGTCACTGCTCCCGCCAGCAGTTCCGATGCTGCTCCACGGTACCTTTCAGTCTTCAGCCACTCGTTTCAAAAGGACTGGCCACTTGAGCATTTGACACATTTGTGAATTTATTTTTTTTTTTCTTAATGTGTTGCCTTTATTAAATGTGTTTGTTCCAAGGTAGCCTTACTGCCTGCTGTCAACACTTTTCTGGAACTTGTTGTCTTTTGGTGATGATTCAGTGACCTTCCCAGCTTTTCTTTCTTTTATGTCGAGCAATAATTAAGGAGGCAGAGTTCTGGTTAATTTTCCTGTTCACCTGGTGTTGTCTCAAGTATATGTTTCAGAGACTCACCTGCCTAGATTTCCAGAGGGCTTTCTGCAGGTTTCTGCATTTAATATTACAATACTCCTACTCCTGCTCCAAGAGATTTGTGACATGACAATGACAGATTAAGTACCTTTTTTTAGGAATAACTCGGACAGGTGAGTGTCTGAGCCACCATCCACAGTCTCAGTGTCCTAAAGCAGAGAAGCTGCTGGAGGGTGTCAGTGTGCTAACTCAGCATTACTTCCACCTCGGTTTCAGAACATTGAATGTGATTGCTTCCACTCCTTTGTCACTTGAATTCCTGTTATAAATGTGTCTGCAAAATAGTGGAATAGAGAGTGGCATATTTTCATGAAGTCACAGTGGAGTTGCTGCTGCCTTTTAGTTTAGCTGCACATACTTCAAAGAACACTCTTTTATTTCTGCCATCTACCTCCCTACTGCAGTTCCCAGTCCCTGCCCTTTATTAGGAATACCTTCAAATCCAATTTCCTCTGATAAAATGTTAGATATGTGAGTTTTAGTGTCTCTGCTGATGTGGCATGGTGTTTAGAAGCTGCTGGTCAGCTGTGGGGAGCAGAGCTCATGTCTTGGAGTCACAGTCCTGGTGGGTACCCAGGGAAGTTTTAGCTATTCAGAGTTGAACAGACAAGTGGTATCACCTTTATCACCTTCTCAGGCCATGCAACCAACTGGGGGAGTCATTGCTGCAGAATGTAGTGGGGAGCAGAAGTAGAAATTCTTTCTCTTTTTTTATTTTTTTAAAGGGGCTGGTTAAACAATGCTCTGCATCCACTAACTCAGGGAGATTTTAAGTTGCTGTAAATAAGAAAGTTGTGCCAAGGAAAGATTGTTGTTCTGTCTACACGTTTCTGTCTTTTAAGAATTGGTCAAAGATGAAGAAAACATGCTGGGCTAAGGTAAAACACTGGTGGGGTTTAATTTATTCTGACAGTTGTGAAGCAAACTAGTTTTAAAAGCAGTCTCAAATATATCTGCATGCAAGACGTGCAGATACTCCCCTGATTGTGGCATAACTTGCAGTCCTGCACCTCCTGCAGCAATGGGCCCTTGGAGGACAATATTCTGCCTTCAGCCTCGTGAAATGCTGTCATGCACAGTGCAGAACAAACACTGGGGGTGGTCCTGTCACACGTGGTGGATCAGGGTCAGTTTGCAGAAGTGTAGGGAGGGTGGTCATGGGAAAGACCTGCATGGCAGCATCCCCATTACAGTGGAATGTAATGAGGCAGAAACCTCATCGGTGAGTCCTTGGTGTTTGTAGGAGCCCTCAGAGTCAGGGGTGTTGCTGTGTAAAGGTGATTGCACCTTGTGAAAAGGCTGCTCCTGACCTCTGCAGACTCCCACGTGCATTTAATGTGCACCCATGCTAAAAAAGTACATATAAAAAAAATTAAATTCACAGAGTGGGGAATGGAGGTTGAGACAGCTTTTTGCTCTCACTAATCTGTCAGTGCCTAAGCCCTGTTGACACAGTCTTTAGCACTAATGCAATGACACTGTATCAAAAGTGGCAGAGAAAATCTTTGCTGTTCTGCTTTAATAGGACACTTACACTATGACAGTAACTGCATAAAGCTATATCTGGATCCTTGAGATGAAACTGGACACAGATGTATGCAAAAAAAAAAAAAAAAAAAAGAGCAAATCTTGCTGAGGCTCCAACTTAACTGCAATGCTGCTCCAGCAACTAAAATGTTCAACTCCCACAGCAAAGCCTGGTCTCTTCATGCTCCATCTACAAAGTAAAATTGCAGGATAATGAGATTGTAACTAAGTCAGTAAATCACTAAAATGTTTTCTAGTAGATTTCCCTCTTGACATGCTGATGAATTTGGGAAATATGCTACAAAACTTAAAGCAGATAGCATAGGGTAGAAAGAATGAAATCTTAAAACTACAAATTTTTGTTACTTCCCCCCCCCCCCCCCTTTTGAGTCTTTTCTGCAGCTGCAGAGCTTTTGGTATTCCCTATGCCCCAATTTAGAACTGCAGAGTACTACTTTTCTACATAGTGGAAATGAGTATTACAGTAGGATTCCTGATGGGAAGGGACTGGTTTTGGTTGTGGTTGTTTTTTTTTGTTTTGTTTTGTTTTGTTTTTTTTTTTTTTTTTTTTTTTTTTTTTTTTTTTTTTTTTTTTTTTTTTTTTTTTTTAATTAAAAAAAAAAGCACCACTTCTGATTTATAATTCACAATGTTATCTTCTCTGGAGTAGCTGAAACAATGATGTGTTATGTAGCTGCATTCTTACATGTTAATTATAAACCCCCTCAGCTCCTTGTTTTCCTGCCTGTGCTGCCAGCCTGTCTCTGTGCAATCTTTTTTTATCAGGTGTCCTGTACTCCACGTTCACCCTACTGCTGCCTGTCACTTCCTTGTGCCTGACCCTCTGCCACTCACTTTTTATTCTGGAGACAATCCCCTCTTTCAGAAAACCCCTTCTTTAACCCAAGAGCATTACCACCTTTTCCTGTCCACAGAATTTTTTGTGGTGTTTGTCAAAGTTGAATTGTAAGCTCCTCGGGGCAGGCCTGTGTCATCTTCTCTGTGTTTGTAAGGTGATGTGCACTCTTGCAGTACTATCTCAAAATAAAGTGTTATTAAGTTAATTGTTAGTTTTCCTTCTGAGGCTGAACATAATAAAAGCATTGCTTGCTTCCTAAGGAGACTGTGGAAGCACGAGTGCTTTACAGGGTGTCACCTGCCAAAGGGCAGGACACAGGTTGAATGTTTCCTTGAATTTTTCTTCTCTAGGTTGGGAGCTAATAGCTAATGCCAATTAAGCTCTACGGGAGAATTAAAATTTAATCTCTGGAAAAAGTCCCCAAACCGTAGAGGGCAGGTTGAGAATGAGATCAAGCTCAGTTATGCAGGGTGAATTAGTGTCAAATAATGAAAGATGAACAACTGACCTTAGGTGGGAATGCAGGTGTCAGCAGGAAAGCTGCACGTCTCAGTTATCCCCTCTTGAGCTTGGTGATGCTAAACCTACGGTGGTTTACTTTTCCAATCCAATAATGACAATCCTTGCTCTGTGATTCCAGTGACAAAAGTAGTAAGATTAGCACTCCTTAGTGGTTTTTATTGAGTACAGGTCACAGAAAAGGGTTTTTGCTATCGCCTTCTAATAAATATCTGGGGTTCCTCGTGATGCCAAGTGCAGCCTGGGTGACTGCAGCTCAGCAGTAATATTGAAAACTAAAGAAGACTTGAAGGTGTGATAAATCATGACCTGGTGACAAGGTGGAGCCCAGTACCTGAGGACGCTCACCCTGTCTGACTGTAGCACTGACTTATCCCCTGGATATTTGCTTTAATACCCTGATCACTGGTCATTTCCCTTCCTCGCCCTCCCAAAAGAGGGGGGTCAGGAGCTGACAAGAGAACTGGAGCACCTCCCCTACAAGGACAGGCTGAGAAGTTTGGGGCTGTTCAACCCGGAGAAGAGAAGGTTTTGTGGAGACCTCACAGCCCCCTTCCAGTATCTGAAGGGGCCCTACAGGGAAGGCAGAGAGGAACTCTTCTTCACGAACTGTAGTGACAGGACAAAAAGTAATGAGTTCAAACTGAAAGGGGAAATTTACATTAGATATACGGAAGAAATTTTTCCCTGTGAGGGTGGTGAGACCCTGGCACAGGTTGCCCAGAGAAGCTGTGGCTGCTCCATCTCTGGGAGTGTCCAAGGCCAGGTTGGACAGGGCTTGGAGCAACCTGGTCTAATGGAAGATGTTCCTGCCCAGGGCATGGGAGGGTTGGAACTGAATGATCCTTAAGGTCCCTTCCAACCCAAACCATTTAATGGTATTGATTGTAGAACCTCACTAGCGGCAGGAGCCTTAAGAGCTGAAACGATTAACACCGTGAAGCTTACATCTCTTGAGAGAGAGAGAGAGAGACCCTAAAGACGCTGCTATAATTAAAAACACCGGAGCCGACTCAGAAAAACCTGAGGGATTGCCGGGAGACCGCTGTACCGCTCTGGGAACCCCAGAGGCTCGGAGAGCCGAAACGAACCGCAGTTTAGTTTTACACCTCTTGGGAGAACCCCTAAAAGGGCGACTTTATACTACAAAAACCACAGGAAAAAAAAAAAAATAAAACCGAACCCAGACCCGGCGGGCCGCGCTCCCGCCTCGCTGAGGGGGGCGGTGGGCGGGGCCGGGCGGGCCCGCCCCGCGCGCGGCGCGGAGGTGACGCAGCCGTTGCCGCAGAGACGAACCGCCCCGGCCCCCCCCCCCGGCCCGGCCCCCCCGTCCCGGTGCGGCGCGCTGGGCTCGGCTCGGCTCGGCTCGGCTCCATCGCCGTCCGGCAGCGGAGCGGCCCCGGGGAACGCGCCTCCTTGTCACCTTCAGCGGGGCTGGCCCGGCCGGGAGGCGCGGCGGCACCGCCATGGTGCTCATCAAGGAATAGTGAGTGCGGCGGGAGCCGCTGCTTCCCACCCCCCTCTCCCCCCCCGCCTTCCTCCTCCCCGCTTCCCAACCTCAGCCCCTCTTCGTCCCTCCGGTCACCTCCGGGCCTGGAGCGGGGGCGGCCGCGGGTGGGCGGCCGGGGCTGGCCCCCGCAGTGCGGCCGCGGGGAGGGAGGCAGGGAAGGAGGGAAGGGGGAGCGCTGTGAGGGCCGCGGCGCCGGTGGGGGCGGCCGTGAAGGTCACGGCGGGGCGGGGGCCGCGGCTGCCGGCGGGCACCGGGTCTGCTCGGCCCCTCGGCGGCTCCGCGGGGCCCCCGCGGCCCCCCGGGGCCCTTGGCCCCGCACCGGCGCTGGGCTGTGGGGTGTTCCCGGTGCCGAGGGCTTCGCATCGGTGGAGTGTCAGCCCCGGTGCTTTCTGTAGGAAGGGGGGTCTGTGGGAGGCTGGGGCGTCTCGTCCCCTCTGCTCGTTGTAGCGGAGCCAAGAGCCAAGCCTGGGTTTGGTCCCTTATTCCCTCCTGGAATAAGGTAGCGCCAGAATATTTTTGGATGTTGGAAACCGGCCCTTGGAGTTCTTTGCTGACCCTGAGGCTGCTGCGGTTGTTCTGCCCCGCCGTGGGGTTGAAGGGGTGGAAAGCAGGCGAGGGTGTGGAACTATATTAGTCACAGTCGCTTTTCGCAGTCCTCGGTTCAGCAGCTTTGAGCTCGCTAACGTTGGAATATGCTCTTGGGCCGGTGCACTTTGGCTGGGTGACTTCAAGCTCTGCACACTCCTGCACATAGTTCTTCCTTGGATTCTTAAGGTTAATTCAAGTGCATTCTTAAGTTGAGTGCATTCCATCATTTTAAACTCCTTTTGGCTGATGGAAGAGGCTTTCTGTTTATATTTTCCTCTCCCCTTGTAGGATTTGTCTGTGATCCCAGTGATAAATTGGGTTTTTAGGTCTTCTCTTAGACACATTTACCTACATGACTGTGCCCTCTTTATAGCAATTACTTTGCCAGATTATGGACCGTGGGGTGGATTTAAATATTAAAACTGTATTGAGAGTTGTACTGATCCTTGTGCTGGTCTTTAAACTTGATTAACTTTTTTCCCCCAATCCTTAAACCCTTGCTATTTTTATCCAACAATGGGAGCGTAGAATTCAAGAGCAGCAGCAGGACTGCTCTTTGTAACACAGAGACATTGTTACCTTCTGTAGCATTAAACTGGATAACAGACAGAAACCTGGGCTAAGTGCTTAGTTTCAGGTGCATATGATTAACTCCTGTAACCTCTGTTTTGTTGATATTTGCCTATGAATTTACTACTTTCCCTCTTACAGCACCTTGGGTGGTTTATTTCTGTCTTTTTCGCTTCTGCTCCCAAGCTCTTACCCTGTACCACAGTAAAGCTCATTGCCAGTGAGCTGTGCTGTGAAGGTGGGAACATCTGTCCTTGGAATTTTTAGATTTCTGAGAGTATGAACAGTTCATTTTGATGAGCATCACTTCCAAAATTCATTTTACTCGATATTATTTACCTCACCAAATCAACATGTCTACTGGTCTTTCACACTGCCTATTTCAGAAACAAGATATGAAATGTAAATGTTAAGACTGAAGGTTAAAAAAAACCAGAATTCCTACAGTTGTCTCTTTTTTCAGGCTTCCATTTCTTTTTCCAGAAGGGCCAGCAAACCTTTTAAATGTTGTCATTAGTTACATTGCTCTGTTCCTTTCTTCCCTTCACTGTGTCCTTAGTAAGACATATGTGGCTCTGAGGGCAGTCAAGGTTGCTGCTGTGCTTTGAAATGAGCATTTGTTTTTGACCTGGGTCTCCCAGCCATCTCTAAGAGTTGCACATCCTGAGCTGTGTCATTGTGTGGGTTCTGGTATGTATTTCCTTGATGTTGGATGCTAAAGTTGCCCATTTTGCATCCTATTTGAGCTGTTTGTTGACGAAATCTCCTGTTCCAGGAAGCAGTTGTTTAAGGCATATGGAAACCACTTGTTTTGGTGTGAGCTGGCTATTTGAAGTACTTTGCTAGGACTGTTTTGCTGTTATTTCTGTTAGCTCTGCTTGCCCAAACACTGCATGCAGGTACCTTACAGCCTACCTAGTGTAGGTGGTAAAAACATAAGTGACCTGTAACTGCGTGTCATTTGAACAGATTATTCTTCCATCTCTGGGACCCCTTGTCACATCCTCCCTACTCAGTCAGAGGGGGTTTATTATCTGCTCCACAGGTATTTTGGGAGGCATTACAGAAGTAGAGCAACATAACAAAAAGCTGATGTCCCATGTTTTATTGTCAGTCAGTCTGTGTCACCATTTCTGTGCAGATTCTTGTCCTGCTGGTTGTGCAGTGATGACTTTAACTTTTCATTTGATATCCTGTCAGACTTTCAGACTTGCCTTTTACTTCCACCCATCAGTGCTGCAGATGAGCTGCATGGATTTTGTTCACTTGTTTGCATGGTTTTGGTTTCAGGGTTGGTAAATGCTGGTTGAAGCCTTGCTTGCTCTCCTTATTTTGATTTAAGCTGCATTGAAAGAGCTTGAGGAGAATCAGAGTGTGGAGATTCACTTCCCTTTCCTGTGAAATGATGGTGATAGCACTGACCTTCCCTGCAGCTGTACTTCCCTTTGCTGCCATTTGAGACAGATTTTAATCTAAGAGGGATCTTAAATGTTTGTTCCTCATCATTTTCAGGCCAACCACATTGTATAATTTCTCGTAAGTTGAGCGAGTTCTGTCCTAAACTTAGGAAATTTTGTTCCCATTGCTGCTCCTGTGAAGCTTTTCTTCCAGATCCTCTTGAGAACTCTTCCCTCCTCCTCCTTTATTACTTGACAACCTATAAGTGTTATTCACTCCTGCATTCTTGGCTTGCTGAACAAACTGTAAACCATTGAACTTGTTTGTGTTTCTGTTTCTTCATTGATGAATATTAAACTCTAAGATAGATATTCAGATCTAGTGTCTTCCAGTTTCCTAAATGGAATTTCATTAGCCTACATCAATGTTTTTACACCAGGTTTTCTAAAGACAAATATTTTAACTCCATTCCAAAGCCATTGTTTCTTCCCTCTGTCTTGGTCTTTCACCTTTACTTATCACCCTGTCCTTCTTTTCATTCATATTATGCAGGTAACTAACCTAAAGTCCTGCTTGATTACAAGGTCTGCCTGTGAAAATCCATTTCCCTTTTTTTGTCCTCCCTTATGTGAGGAACACCATACAGAATTGGAACCAAAGATCCTCTTCCATCTTGCCTTTTAGCAGATATTTTCAGGAAACAATATGTAATAGCGATTACAACGATTATTGTTCAGTGTGTCCTACCAGTAAGTGGCACATGGATCTCCATGAATTGATTGAATCCCATTTAAAAATTGCTTATACCTCCATGTCTGTCAAGGAATCCCATTACTTGATCTACATCAGTAGGCATGATGTAAAGAAGTACACTTGATTTGGTCTAAAATTTGGTGCCTGCTGATTGTTCTGCTGTAAAGCAGCCACTGTTGCTCCTCCATTCAGTTTTCCACACCGTTCATGATCTCTAGTGCTCTTCCATACCTGAACTCCTTGGCTGTTTTTGATCCCAAGCTGATAAGGCCAGGTCTGACTGCTTTCTCCTCACATGGAAGCTTTTTCCCATTTTCAATCACCTTTTTTCCTTCCTGCACTTGTTCCGTATCCTCTTTGAGATGAGGTGATCAGGACTATGTGCAATATTCAAGATGTTGATACAGGAGAGACTACAGTGACATCATAGTCTCTTTCTGTGTGTGTTCTGATATTGGGTTTACTTTTGAACTGCTGCTGAGCTGATGTTTCCAGATGCTTTTCCATAAAGACACAAGACATTTGTTGGCAGTAGCTAATTTGGGGCTCAGTAACCCAAACTGTGTTTGGTGAAAACAAGTGCCTGTAGTGCATTATTCTACTTTTGTTGACACTGAACTTCATCTGCAGTTCTCAGTAGCTCTTTCTGCAGTACTTTGCAGCCAGCATAAAGCATTGCTGTCATAAGTAATCTTGCATAATCTGTAAACTTTTCCCTCTCTTGCAGTTTGTTCTTGTGGTGTCTTGCTGGCAGTATGGAAAAAAAGAATTCAATTTTCACCAGTACTGCTTTTTAAAAATCAGTTTGCTAATAAAGAGGACTTTTTTTCCTGATCCCATTATGTCCTAGTTTCTTTGAGACTAATTCCCAAAGAATTGGGAATTCTTCCACCCACACTAGCGGTATCCACTTCATATCTGTCTCTTGCATTGGTTCCTTGTTCAACATGAGAAGCAGAAGTTAAATACAAATCTAGTTTTTTGTATGGGTGCAATATTTTTAAAGGCCTCAACACGTGTTCATTTTTTGTCAACTTTACATTTATTCCCTTTCAAAAAACCCTCAGTGCAATTTTCTGGCAGTTTTTGCTCTGCTGTCTGGTCAATCAATTCTCAGAAGCGTCCAGGAAACCGCCACGTGAAAAGAAGCGAAGAAGTGGCAGCACCTTCCTGTGCAGTGAGCTCTGAGAGAGCCTTCCCTCCGCTCTCTCTTCAGGGCTGTTTCCTGCTGGGTTGGGGACGTGTGAGCAGATCTTCAGAGCCCTGTGGCTCTCGCAGAGCTCAGCAGAATCTCTGAGGCCCAGAGCAACCCTCTGCAGCAGCTTGATGAGAAACGACTGCTGAAAGGATGGACTGGGGGGGGAACACACCACCGTGCTGGTGCTGCGTGGATTTGTAGGCCAGGGAGGTATCACCAGGCAGGGTCTGTTGAATGACAGAGTTTTAGCAGAGGATTGCAATTACGCCCCGTCGTGTGTCGGTTCTCTTTGAGGTTATTGTATAAATAGTCTTGGGATTAAAGAGTAAGAGCTGGGGACGGTAGCAATGGGTGGATGCTGGAATGCTGGGTGGAGGGCAGAGCTGTGCAGCCATTGCTGGGAGGAATGTGCTGGGTAAATTTGGGGATATTTGGTAACGTTCTGTTTCTGTGTTCCCTTTCAGCCGCGTCATCCTGCCTGTGTCTGTGGAGGAGGTAAGTTCTTTTCTTCTTGCCTCCTTTAGGACTGTAAATAAACTTGTGATCAAAGCAGTTTGTATGAAATAAAACTGGAAAATGCAAGAGAAGGATATAGCTGTCTGCAGGACCCCTGTGAGCTGTTACTCATTCACTATCCTTTTGACCAAAGTAAAGTCTGAGGGCACTGATCTCTTATACTTTCAGATAGATGATTATAAATCTTGAGTTGTCAGACTGTTTAAAAGTGCGGTTTCCTTTTGATTAGTACTATTGTTCTTTTCTAACATGAAGAGGAAGCTTCAGTACAAATTTAAGTTACCCTTTAAACTGTGTGTTGCTGGAACTCTTTGTTTTTAAACTTGTAGGCAAAGATCAAGGATTTCTCCTGATTTATGAGGCTGGTTTAGCAAAAGAAAGATTTTGTCTTTCCTAGGACTCTTTAAGACCTGCCCTCTCTAGCTTTTACAGGCAGAGAACTTCCTTTTTGTTTAGGTAAAGCTCTAATTGACAGAAGAAGTGTAGTTTATAATGGGCATGGTGATTTGGACCACCAGACTGGCCATGGAGCAGCTGTGCAGAGTCAGTGGCTGTTTCCCTACTGTTTCCTTGAAGTTGCAGCTTGCCTTTCCCTCCTCCCTTCTGACTGAGCACCACTCTTACAGAGAATCTCACCATACAAATTTTATGAATTTTTTAACCTTCCTACTAGCAAGGTAGAAATTGAAATGACTGAGTCTACAGCACTTCTGCAGCAGATTTCTTCTTCTTGATGTTTTGGGTTTTTTTTTCCTTGTGATCCTTGGCTGTAAGCCTTAGGTTTGCGAGCTGTGATCAAGGGCTTGTTCTAACTCTTGAGGAGAGCTGTGATAACAGCACTCTTGTTCATTTTTCTTTCCTCTGAATATAGCAGCTACTGTGGCATAGACAGTGGTGGGCTGGCTCATGGCAGCACTGTTTTAAGCACATCTCTTTTATAACTCTCCACTCTTTCGACAGAACCCAGTTTAGGAGTTGGTGTGGGGTGTTCCTGCAGCCATGGGGCTGGCTGGTAAAACAAAAGCTGTGTCTGAGCTGAGTTTCTTGTTCCTGTGGATCAGTCTTCTGTGACAGGCATCACATGCTGATGGAAAGTCTAGGCCTCTGATCAGGGAGCTGTTTTAGATCTGTGTTCTGTGTTCTAACACCAGAAGTCTGTCTGTTGCCAGCTCCCTACCCGTAGCTTTTATGCTTTCTGCATTCATCTGTTTCAAGCAGTTTTAACAGAAGTCAGACTGAAGTGTTACAGTAGGGGTGTTTGGGTCTTTTATTGTGCCTGAGTGCTACTTGTGTGGGGAAATCCTTGACAAAGGAAGGACTAACATGATAACCTTTACCAGGTAAGCAAAGGAGGCAAACTTGCTGGTTAGACAAAGCTGGGGGTAAATGGCAAGGCACTCAAGCCCAGTGGACAGAAGCCCTCAGCCTGAATTACAGGAGCCCTGCCCTGGAGGTGATGTGGCTCCTTGGTATCAAGCTGTGTAAAAAAGAATATGCAAGTCAGTATAGAGATTGTTTCTTTGAGGGGGTTAGATTGGATAGAACCCAACACAGGGGTTTTCTGAGTTCTCTGATACTGGGATTAGCCTTCATCCAGTTAAAGCGAGTCCCTGGCTGTGCATTTTGCCTCCCTGGCTGTTCAATGCCAGGTACTTTTGAGCCCTGTGTGTGGGCTGGGTGGGCATTGAGCTTTTTGGGCTGTAAGTGAATCTGTTACTCTCGAGCAGCCTCCTTGTCTGTGGGTGCCCAGGAGTTATCTGTTTCAGGAGGTGTGTTCCTCTACCCTGGGTCCAGTGCTTAGATTGTGGATAGATCCCCAACTTGACCAAAGTCAATTTCTCCTGAAATTTGTGTATTGTCACCATGTCCCTGAGTGATGCCGCTTTTCAAGGTCTGGTGTTTTTTCCCAGGATAGACCAGATTTCAGGAGCCACTTCCGTGAGTGGGAGGAGTTCTGAAGTTCACTTACCTTTGCATGTGTGCTGGGGTGATCTGGCAGTGTTAAAGGTGTGCTTAAGAAGAAAGGTTATTTGCACTGTTGACTCAGAGGATGACTACTGCTCTTCTTATTGCTTCACCCCCTTCCTATGTGGAAAGATGCTGACACATCTGTGCATCACTTGGTCACCACATTGCTGTCTGTACTAAACAGCTGTTAAAACTTCATTGCTTTCAAGGATTTCCTTGTGTGCAAAACTCCTAAATAGGGCTCTGGAGACTTGTTGTGGCTCTTGGCTGTGTAGCTGTTCATTAAGCATCTCTTGACTAGCAAGAGGACTTCTGATTTCACTCTAATATAGGCCATTTTTGCTCCAAAGACATGAGTTCACACCTTCTGCGTGCAAACTGTTGACGAAAGTCTGATGCCAATGTGTAAAATAGGGAGTGAAATTAATGGTAACTTTGAGGCATCACCAAAGGGTTGTGGGAGTCTTCTGTGTGGTTCTGTGATATGCTGAGGATTCTGTGTTCAGGCTCCTCATCCCTGGCAAATGGAGCTTAACGAATAGTATGGAATTCAAGGGAAAACTAGTGATTAGGAGGGCACTGGGGAGATCAGTGCTGACTAGTTAGCCAAGTAGCTGCTAAGATGGGAATAAAATAGAGGAAGAGAAGCCCTGGTGATGACTAAAAACTTGAAGGCTGGGCTGTAGGAGTTAGACTGTAGCAGAGTGTCTTCTACAAGGAAGCTCTGCCAAAACGTGGCCCTGCTCAAGTGCAGGCTGCAAGCTGCATTGCCGTGTTTTATACATCGTCCCACTGCAGGGAGCAGAAGGAAAACTCCTTGTTGTATCTCGGGGTGCCAACCTTTGCTCCCATCTCCGACCAGCGCCGCGTTGTGCGGTGCCAACGGTGGGAGCGTGGACTCGAGCGGCTGTGTGGGTGTCGTGCCAGCTGCCACTGAAATTCTGGTATGGATTAGAGCTGTGTGTACACATTCTGTGCTGCCTCTTTGTTCCTTTCACATGGGAAGGAGCTTGCCAAACACAGAGGAATCTTATTTATTAATTGTGCTCAAAGCTGCTTTTGGGAAAACAACTGTTCTTGGAGATGTTGAAATCGGGCCTTCTGAAAGGGTTTTGGTGTAATGAAGATATCCTGTCAGCTGTATAAGGGATGTTGTGACACAGATCAAGGGGGATGATTTCTTGCAGAAGAGAAGAAGGTTATTTTGGAGCTCTTGGGTCTGCAGGGACGGAGCTGTTTAGAGTCCAGATTCACGGAGTCAGGATCTGTTTTTCTGTTAACCTTTGCAGGCAGATGCTGAGGGATTTGTTCATTGGGACAGTTTTATTTGGGCCTTTTTTATCAATGCGATTAAAGGCTCAGAAATAACAGGGAAGTTTAAATGGTGAAGATGTTAAACCAAAGGGTTTATCCTCTTAGTGTGTGAACTTTGACCCACGTATTTGAAAGGGAGAAGAAATGAATAAGAGATTGTTACTAAGAGGAATTAGTTTGTACCCCTGGAGACCTGTCCTGGGACTTGCTGCAAACCAGTCAAAGCCATTCAGTCCTCCCCTCTAATACTGCATTTATCAAACTCATCACAAACCCTCTTCACTGTGAGTGGATGTGTGACTCTAACTGTACTAAAGCAACCTTTACTTCTAAGGTTTCACAACTCATCATGTTTTGCTCTTCTGGAGGGAGGTGAATATTTTTTCCTGTATGGGTCATATGTAGGGAGTCATAAGGAAAGCAATGTGGTGTCTGAAATGTCAGAAGTCATTGCAGCCCAGAATCCCAGACTGAAACCCAACCTGCTGTGCCAGCGCAGGAACTGTCCAGCCAAGCCAGGGCTGCTCGTATAACCTGGGCCAGCACCTTCTGGAGAGATCCAGCAAAGCTGCTCTTCCAGTAGGAATAAATATTTCCATGGTCTTTGTTAGCACCAGATGGTACAAAACACCAGAGTGCTTGGGAGCTGTTGTTATTTTGGACACCGACAACAAAATTTGACGACAGTAGAAATCTTCCGTCGTTGCTGAAGATGGACCAGCCCAGTGAAGTATTTCTCGGTTGTATTCCACTTTTCCAGGTTGGGTTGCAGTGTGCTAAGTGTTATTCCTAACTCTGGTGCAGAGCTCTGTGCTGCCTAAACAGTGTTCCGTTGCTTTGTAGTTGTGTTTTGGAGGGTTTTTTGATTTTGGTGGGTTTTTTTTTAAGTCACTGCACTTCCGATGCCAAACACTTTGTGGATTACCCTTTCAGATTGCCTCTCTGTTCTGTTGCCTTTGGCAACAGTTGCTGTTTTGCTTGCTTAAGAGTTCTGAAGACTTAACTCTTTTAAGTTAGAACACTTCCTTTTGGCTTAGTGCTGTAGCTTCTTCATCCTCATACTTTGCTCATCTAACTGCCTCACTCAGAGAGACCTGAGTGAATTTTCTGCATTTGATCATGTTTCTTTTGAGCTCTGCATCCCCTTTTGTAGCTACCAGAGGCAGGAGTGTATTAATCTTAACACCTTATGCAGAGAAGAATGTTCTCTTTTGTTCATGTTCTTGATTTTTTCCTCTGCTCTTCCCTGTGAAACATTTGTTTCATGCACGCCTCTTATGAAAGCAACTGTATAGTATCAAGTGGTTTGAGTGATTTCTGGCAAATAATGTGCCAAGTGAGTGTCAGCAAGAGACTGAAAAATGAGCTTAGGATAAAAATTTTACTGCATGTTGAAATTCTGTGCTCTCCCTCTTAGTAGTTTAAGCTTGTGGCTAAGAGGAAGTGCAATACAGAAAAAAACTCACAAGCCAAAACAAGGATCATAGGAAAAATAATAGGGGGAACAGTGACAGCATTTTGTAAAAAAACTTCATGTGAAGTTCCCTGGGACTCTCCTGGATGCAGTACTGTGTGCTTATTGATTCAGGACTGGCAGTGCTTTACTCTCCATTTGACCTGAACAATTGGGACACCTGTGTGCCAAAAAGAGTGAAAACAAAGGACTGTGTTCCTACAGTGTTCCTGAAGTCATCTGTGTTTTCTTTAAATGTTATCCTGATGTTCCTTTAATCTTCCCTGCTTTCTCCTGGTTTTGTGTTGGTTTGGAGCTTGAGATTTAGGGGTTAAAGGCAACTATTTTATTGGCAGTGCTTTCCTCCTAACTACCACTCAAGCTTTGTATATCAAATGGAATTAAATGAGCTTCTTATCTGGCCATACAAGTGGGTGTCCTTTTCTCTGCCCTTTCCCCAGGTAACAAATTTGCCCTTGGCATCATCTGGTGGAGTTATTACTTCTGCTAAATTATATGTGTCATAACACTGTGTCTTTAACTTCCTCAGTATCAAGTGGGGCAACTGTATTCTGTGGCAGAAGCCAGTAAAAATGAAACTGGAGGAGGAGAAGGAGTGGAGGTGCTGGTGAACGAACCCTACGAAAGGGATGGAGAACGTGGGCAGTACACACACAAGATCTACCACTTACAGAGGTACGGGAAACACTCTGCTCCCAGGGCTGGGCAAGAGGAACTGCAGGAAGCTGCGGTGGGGTTGCACCAACTGTAAATCACAGATTGTGTAAAGGCTGAAAGACACGCAGGAGTGGAACAGCAGCTGGCAGTCAGCATCACTGTACACCTACCCACCCCTGCAAACGTGGCTGTTGTCCCGAGAAAATCTGGCTTTGAGCTTTTCAAAGCAAGTCTGATCCTGTTACTCAGTATTTTCATACTCAAATTTGGCTAAAGAGCAAAATACCTCCTAGATTTCAACCTGTTTTCAGCCTCTGATTTTTTTTGTATATCCTTCTTATATAAAAAAGGTTTATATTAACATGTCCAGTTTGGTACCTCTGGAAAACATTTTACTGGGGGTGGGGAGAGCTCTACAAATTCCACCCCTGTGCACAAGTGCATATTTCTAGCATTTGCATTCCAGGTGATGTCCTGCCTGTCTCAGAGTGTCTGGGCCAGAGCTCTCATTACATGAAGTCCTTATCGATGCCTTTCTTCCCATTTCCAAATTCTGCAGCAAGGTGCCAACGTTTGTGAGAATGCTGGCCCCTGAAGGAGCTCTGAATATACATGAAAAAGCATGGAATGCCTATCCCTACTGCAGAACCGGTGAGTGCCTGAGGAAGGACTGTTGGATTCTGGCTTTTTGGTTTCTGAGGGTGGGGACGAGGGTAGGAGGGGATAAGGAAGGAGGCAACCAGGATAGAAGCTGTTTCAGCTCTTAATTCTTGGATTTCTGTTCTCTACCACCTTTCTGTGGTCAGGAAAAGCAAAATATGAGGACTTAAAAGAAGTGCCCTTGCCTGTTATGCTGCTACTGAGTGACAGTGGAAAAGAACAGCCCAAGGAACACGTTAGTCCTGCTGAGGGAACAGATGTGTAACACTGATGAAATAAATATGAGGGATGATTTGAAGTACTCAAGTGCAGCGTAGCCAGGTGGGAAAAGCAGTGGAAGATGCAGGAGGGGAAGAGGGCGGATCTCAGGTGCCTCTGGCTTGGTGCAGTTTGGAGGGAGCAAAGTGTTAGGTGAGGGTGTTTGCTGAGTGGCAGGATCTGAGCTTGGGGGAGGCTGAACAGGTAATGCTGCAGTTGCTTGACACAATTGTCCAAATCTCATCCAACAAGCATGAAGTGAATCCATGTGTAAGGCAGGGGTGAGGCTCTGGAAGCTTTATAAAGTGGTGAAATAACATCAAACTCATTGTCTGCAGGAATGTTCAGTATCTCAGTGAAGTTACCAGCTACAGTGTTTAACCACTACTGCTCTTCTGGTCTTCGCTGCTGTAGGAACTGAAAATTTGACTTTGCCTCCAAACTTATGTAGTGCTTTTGGCTGCTTTATGCTGTTTGCATCTTTGGAGGATACATTTGCTGCTAGTTGGTAGTGGTACAGTTGCTATGGGAACTAGAAACCTAAAAATTCCAACGGTACTTGAAACTCAGGATAGAAAAAAAAAATATTTTTCGACAGTTTACTTAAGAGAATTTTAAATGAAGTGTTTTAAAAGAAGGAAAAAGCTTTGCAGTGGGAGAGGATGGTGTTACTTAAGTATGTGAAATTACATGTAGCAGTCTTGTGGAATGGATATTTCAAATACAAAATTCAGATCCTGCACGATAAATTTTTAATGTGTCTCATAATTCAAGGTGAGGAAACAAAGTTATTTGCAACCTTTCTAATTTTTATGCAGTGTTCTTGCTGCATTTTATTTAAATGATCTAGTAAATGTCTAGCTTATTTCCATGTTAAGCAGACTGAACTGATTTCAATATCTGCTTTATCCTCCTCTTTTCCTTCTCCACCAATTTCTGAAACAAAGGTGTGGAGTTACTTGTTTTTTCACTCCTACCTGCTCATCCTTCAGTTGCCCACTGCTAAAATTCCACTTAAGTAAAAAAATAAAATAAAAAAAAAAAAAGTGATGCTAAAATCAAGTACAAGACTTTCCAACCCAGTCAAAGAAGGTTTTGATATGCTAGAAATGATAACAAAACCAAAAAAAAAGCCCTCAACTGTAATAAACAGCAATAGAATATGAGATAGGAAGGGCTTTGTTGTGGGGGTTGGAGCAGAAGGCAGTTTTGATGCGGAGGCTGAGAAATCTGTTTAGAGAATCTGCCAACCTGACGTGAATCAAGGAAAGCTCAGAAAAGTTGCTGAAACCTTCCCTTGGTTGGTCTTGGGCAGCAGGGAAGAACCCCTGGATGTGCTGTGGGGTTCCCTGTGCTTTACCATTTTCCTGTGGGACACTCTCAGGTGTTCTGGTCGTGCATGAGAAGCCCTTGGATGGCCTGCTGGGAGTCTTTGGGCAGCACAAAATACCTTGCTGGCTTCCAGCACGTGGCAGAGCTGTCATCCCTCTCACCAGAGTCTGGAATTTCGGAGCCAGGGACACAGTAAGAGCTCGGCCTGCTTTGAGTGCGGAAGCTGCTGGTGTTTGTGCCTGTGTCCTCCCGGAGCAGGGGGGGTGTCAGTGCTGCTCCCTGGGGCACTGCTTGCTTGCACATCAGCTGTTCCACAGAGCCTTCTAAACTGGAAAAAAAGCAGCACTTTTAGTTAATTGTGCCTCATGGTATTCTCTTTTTATTATATAAGATCATCCTTCTTACATTTCCCTGTATCTCGCCGAAAAGCTCAATTATTACTTTAATATGCATATTATGTGCCATTATCAAAGCAGTACTGCAGATTGAGGGGATTTAAATGCCTAGTTTATAACTTCCTGCAATTCTGCACACTTGCTTGTGCTGTAATGTGTTGTTTTTATGTGCTCTGAATGGAAGCCTCGCTTGGCTCCTCCGAGAGCATGAACAGTAAACGAGATTGTTGTTGTGTGCGTTCACAACTTCTCCAGTAAGAAGTGGTAAGGGTTGTCTAATACTTCTACCTGTGGGCTTGTGCCAAGGAGAACAGTGTTCCTGGGTGTTTTCTGCAGTCTGATGTAATGTTGCCTAAACGTTTTTAGACAAGCAATTTGATGTGTGTTCCACTCCTCTGAGTAGAAGTGTGGCCTGTGGCCAAATGTCGAGAAACTGAGAAGTTACAAGTTCAGCTGAAATGTGGAGGAGTTGTTGCTGTAACACTTCAAGAGCAAGTCCTAATTTGTAACAAGCTGAGCATCTGAGTTTTAATGGACATTTCTAAAGAGATTAATTTGTTTGCTTTACAAATGAGGAGTCTTCCCCACGGGGAAGAAATTAAGAAGGTGAAGGAACCTGTTTTAAGGCAGCTGCATAGTCGTGGTACACAGTCATGGGAAGGTGGGAAGGCCCTGATTTATAATTATGGCTGGTTTATGCATTGTTTTGTAGGGACTAGCAGGAAAAAAACCCTCCTTCCTGCAGAAATAATGTTCTTTGAGATTAAGTTTAGCCTTTTAAGAATTAGCGTCAGCTCTGCTTCCTTGTTCTCTCCCTCAACCCCAACATGTCAGTCTAAATAATTGGCCTTCTGTAAAATTGCTGTAAAAAGCAATATTCAGACTGCTGGGGGTTTGGAACAATCCAAGGCCCAGCAGTAGGTAATTAAGGAAGCTGGATGTGCATGATGGGTGATTTGGGATGGTAACTGTCTCCAGGATGTTGGGTTGGAAACTCACAAAATGCAATGCGTACCTTTAAAACCAAATTGCTGTTTGATAAAGCCCTCGTGTTAAACTTCACAACAGAACAGTGAAGTTCCACTCCAGCTTCAGACTTCCTTAGTCTGGAGCAGAATTGCTAAGGTGCCCTGATGGCTCAGGTGGAACAGATGCTGACTGTTATAGGATCTTTAATGGCTTTTCTGTGTTGAATAATTGAGCCTCCCTGTGCGGGGAGTTTGGTTACCATGAGCAGCAGAGATGCAGAGGGTCTGGTTACCCCGTGCAGGAACAGGGAGGTCTGCCCTGCCCTGAAATCCAGCGTGGGTTTGCTCCAGAACTATGGGGAGGTTTCTTATCTGCAAGCTGAGAAAGGATTGGTAAAATGCTGTCAGCTGAACATACACTTATTCCATCTCCTCATCCAGCTGGCTGGAGTCCAGGGAGCACAAGTGGCAGTACATAATTAATTGCTGCTCCTCTGGGTTTCTCCAAGTCTGAGAATTTCCAGAGGAGAAGGGAGCGAACTTCACTGGTTTTTAACAACTTTCATGTTTTTTTAACTCAGTGGTAGCAGCAGCCCCCTGGGAAGCTGAAGCTGCCCCTGTTTTGCTGACAGTGGGAGGAGGGCAGGGGTTGCTGTACAGTCTTTTTTCACTAAAGTACTGTATCTCTTTCTTTGCATGTGTTGATTTCTTGGACCAGTTATTACAGTAAGTATTGCTTTTACTAATGATCTATGGAGTAATGTCTGAATGTTCTGGATATAAGGAGCTCTTTAGCTAAAGGCACCTCAGCTTTTCCCACTGTGAGATCACACAGATGAACCCCCCTTCCCAACCCTCTGTGGCCAGGCCAGGGATGTGTCTGTGCTGCAGCAACGCTCAGCTTTACAAAAGGGAATGTGCCACTGCCCCCACTGCCTGGGGAAACTGAGGAAAAGCCATTGGCCCATGCCAGGATGTCCCTTTGAGGAATGGTTTCTGAATCTGATATTTCCTTTTTACCTGCTGTTCCACTGGCTTGTGCTTTTGTTTCTGCTCCCTTGAGGGAGGATTGGGTTACCTTTGGAAGTCCTTTGCCACCCACAGTAATAGTGAGAAATGGAAAGTTTTTTGCTTACTTGGCAGATCTCTGCTCCTTGTCCCTCCCCTTTCCAGTGTCAAAAGCTCTCAGCACATCAGTTAAATATTGCTATTAATTTGAAGAATTGCATCAAAATATGTACTCGGTGCTAGATCAATAATCTCTTTGAAGAGGTGGTTTCTGCCTAGTTAACTTATGTTATCCCTTCTAAACTCTGAAAAGAGTGACAGATATTGTCCTTTAAAGAAAAAGATATTTATAAACTCCAAATGTTTCACTAAAACAATGGAACTTATGTTTTTTCAGTGAACAGCTTGTGCTTTATCTGATCTTAGCAAAATTAATTGATCACTAATTCCTTAAAAGCAATGATGTGTTTACAGATAATTCTGAAATTCCCTAATTGAGACCCCAATCAAATTATAATTCTTGTAGTTGACTTTCCTAATGCTTATCTAGCTAATAAGAAGACAAGTTACATATCCTGAGAATAATAAGAAGCTTTATTTTGATGACAGAATGAGTATATGAAGGATGACTTCCTGATCAAAATTGAAACCTGGCATAAATCAGATCTTGGAACACAAGAGAATGTAAGTACTTGTGTCATGTCATTTTACTCATCTCTTTAATGTCACAGTGCTGCTTTCTGTGCTAGATTAGAGAACTGCTGTGTGGAACTGTCTATTCACTGTGTTCCTGGATTTGAAATGCTTATCTCACTAGCAAGGCAGAGCCTCCTTCCTTTGGCTTCTCACACTTGTGAATAAAATTGGCCCCCAAACACTCGTTCTGTGTGAGCACCTCTGCTCCTTTAGCAGATCTCACACTGTGTGTTTGCCACAGTGTCCCCTCTGTGTGTGTCCAAGGGGAGCTCTGGGTGTCTGCACCTCCTGCTGGCTTTGGTAACGTTCTGTGGTTGAACCAGTTCAGTTGGTCTTGTTCTCTCGCTGCAGGTGCATAAACTGGAGCCAGAGGTATGGAAGAGTGTAGAAGCCATTTACATAGACATTGCTGATCGGAGTCAAGTCCTTCCCAAGGTATGGTAGGTGGGTAAGAGCTCTCAGTGGGGGAGGCCTTGTGCTAAAAGGGGGATAATGCACAACCTGTGTTCTCAGGAATAGTCTCAGGTGGCAGCACAAGTGAAGGCATTCCTTAAAAGTTCCAGCAAGCTGGAGGAAGAGCTTTTTTAAAAGCTACATCAACACTGTTGCCTTCTTCCAGTGCATGTGACAGTGTAGTTCTCCAGCACTGCAGCTGACTAAGTGTTTGACTATCAGGAAATGACACTGCCCTGCCCATACAGGATTTCTCTGAATCGGCCTCCTTTTTGAGCCTGACCCATGGCCACACAAGTCACTTTGTTCTAAGAATCACTACAGTTACTGTAAGAAAGTAAGAGATGTTTCTGTACTAGACTGGAAAAAACCTCCAACTGTATGAAAATGGGATGTTGTCTGAGTTTCCCGACTTTAAAACAGTATTTGATACCATATTTGATACCTGTTCTCAGACTTGGTCTTGGGTATTAAACCAGAACAGGTATTTATTTTAGCTTTTCTTCCCACTGAAGATGTGACAGTGAGCAGCTGGGTTACAGTAGGAGAACTTGTGTTTAATCTTGTTGGTCTGTCCAATAGGATTACAAGGCAGAAGAAGATCCAGCAAAATTCAAGTCTGTCAAGACTGGCCGTGGACCTCTGGGTCCCAACTGGAAGGTAGGTATTGATGAGTTGAGGGGCTGTGTCAGCTCACGTGACTGAGGCACAGATGCTGGGGCTTGGAGCCAAAGATACAACTGTAAAATGCTGGATTCACCTCTGTAGGAGGAAACAGGGAACTCAGCTGTGAATCTGTTTGAAGTTAAAGGAAATGGAAGAGTTTGGTACAAAGAAATCGCCAGAGCTGTCTGGTGTTCAGCCCAAGGGTCCACCCAAGAGAATTGGAGGATGAAATAGCTGAGTAATGCCCAGCAGTATTTAACCTTTCACTGAAATCCTTGGAATGTGAAGACTCTACAAGTGCAAATGTGATACCAGTCTTTAAAAGGGACCCTGAATGGGATTCGGCAGCTGTGGGTGTGCAAGTCTGATCTGGCAAAGGCAAACTTGGCAGAAGCTGAGGCTGATAAAATTCATTTGGAAAGAGTGGATATGGCTCCTGTAAAAGGAAGTAGGAAACCTTATGGAGTTTTCTCTAGGGCTTAATAATTATGTGAGTGACTCAGGTGATATTATCTATTTCCAAAATGTTTTAGGTAGGAACACTTTGTCAGGAGACTTTTAAGGAAACCAAGTAGTGTCATAACAGTGAAAATACTGAAATGCATAATTTTAATTGAAGAGAAAATGGACAACAGAGGAGGGGAAGGAATAATCTACTCTCAAAATGGAGGGAAGGCAACCTATGTAGAAAACCAGGGTCTGTTTTCATCATGCTCTTCTATACTCTTAAAAAGGTGTGAGAAAAGATGTGACAGAACTAGTCAATAAAAGATAAGGAAGGTGTAAGGGATGCAAGAGGATTGTGAGGAATTGTGGAAAGACTTCACAGGTAGGACTGAAGGAGCTGCTTTCCGGGAGACACTTGGCCAGAGTCTTAATGTGAATATCTTTGTGTCTTTGCAGAAGGACCTGGGGAAGCAGTCAGATTGTCCATACATGTGTGCTTACAAGCTGGTAACAGTCAAGTTCAAGTGGTGGGGCCTGCAAAATAAAGTTGAGAACTTTATACAGAAGGTGAGTTATTTCATGAAGGGAGTTGTTGAAAAGGGGCGTGTTTCACCTTCTACCTGTTATAACACCTCAGCAGCTTCTAATAGTGTGTCCTGCCTGGAGATGTTAGCTTGAAATTCAGTCATGTCACCTCAGGCAGTGTAGTCAAGGCCTATGAAATCCTGCAATGAGTTAAACATTGATTCGGTTTGTTGCTAATCCAAGGGCAGGGCTGGCTGATTGTTCTGTGAATTGGCTATTGAACCTTTCTGACTCCAGTGTGTGAAGGTAAATTGGCTGTTTTGCAGTGTTTAATAGATCAGCCTGAGAATTGCAGTCACTTGGATGCTGGTTTGTGAATGAAGAGATGATGCATTTATACTAGAATTGCTTTGCTTAGGGGCAAGACATTTTTGTGGGGAGATGGGGAGATAGTTACAGCTTCAGCTGTTTGATCCTGATCAGCTGAGGATCTTTCTGGCAAGTCCTAGCGCTGTAGTCATGTTTTCCTCTGCTTGAAAAGCAAGCAGAGGGTAGGAAACTTCATTCACTTAAAGCAAAATTGGTATCCTGAAAAGAGCTTTTTCTGTGGCAGAGCCCATAACCCATGAACTGCCCCAGGATGCTACAGCTGGGAATCAGGATGTGTGATTCTCCAGTGTTCATAAATCCCATGGTCATAAAACACCAGCACCTTCAGATCACAGAGGCTTCTCAGGGGTTAATATTGATAAACTGCAGTGCTGCTCCTGCAGAAGCAATTCTCTGGTGATGCAATCTAAGGAGAACTCCAAGGAGGAATGACCATGGTGGTACAAGATTTCAAATACCTGTGTAACAAAAGCCCTGAACAAAGCGGTGTCTTCAATCCTTTTCTTTTTATGAGCGTCTGCAGGTTTGGTTCAAAGTAGTCGAGCTGCTTTTGATAAGAGCAGGTTATCAGATATGAAACCATAATTGGTAAAACTGAAGTGTCCTTCCTTAATGAGGACTTTGCAAGAGGCATTTTATATCCCTGTCTAATATAATGATTTTGTCTGGCTTACCTCCTACAAAATGGAAGTAAATTGCTTCAAACCTGAAGCAGCTTGTGCTCGTTAGTTACCTCTGCTCGAAGGTTTTCAGCTGTGGAAAACAAGTTTAGGCATTTTTGTAGGTCAGTGCAAAAGAAAGAAAGCAAGATAGATGCCTGTCAGCCCTTTACATTTCCTAACTTCCAGTTTTTAGCAAGTTTAAGGATTATTTTAAAAATACCTGTTTCTCCTGTTTTGTGTGCCTTCAGAACAGCTCTCGAGCTCTAAGTAAACCCAACTTGGAGCACTTTTTTCAGTCAGAACAATACTGCCAAATCAAAGGAAATTATTTAAGCATTCACTGATTATTTCAGTGCAGTGTGCAGACTGCTGTCTAGGCTTGGGAAAAAAAAAAAAGGCATTTTCTCTGGGGATTCAAGGCTCTAGATTAGATATTCTGTTAAAAGAATAAAAATTAGCTCTCTCCAGTTTCCAATTGTGGCAGCTGTGTAGAAAGGTGGGCGAGGGAGCTGATTCTTCAGTGTACACATCTCTGAAAACTGTAACAATCCGGGCAGATCCATGGAAATTGCCCTGTGACTAAGCTCGTTTGTGTTTTACTCCTCCTCCTTTTGCAGCAAGAAAAGCGTCTCTTCACAAACTTCCATCGGCAGCTCTTCTGCTGGCTCGATAAGTGGGTTGATCTGACTATGGAGGACATTCGTAGGATGGAGGAGGAGACCAAGAGACAGCTGGATGAGGTCAGTGGAAAAGCAGGGCAGGTGTGGGTTGTGTGAGAAGCTGCTTCTCTCCAGTCCAGTAGAGAGGAAAGACTGGTGCATTGTCAGAGCATGGTGTGTACTGTCCTCCTGCTATCTGGGTCATGCTGTGTGTGGTTTGAATGATTGGGCCATGACTCCATCGTGCTGGCATCTCCTTCTGATCATTATGGACTTCTTTCTGTTTGTTGTTGAGCCAGTAAATGTATTGAACCACAGGTAATGAGGGTCTGAGTGTCAGTGATTCATTTACTGCTTTAATATCTTGTGTTCGTTTCTACCCAAAGCTGAATGGTCGATTTTTGTCCTCCTTGGTTGCCAAAACCCAGTTGAGTAAAAGGGTTTTTTTAGCTCTAAGTCCTATAAGCAGGCAGTGAGGGTATGTAACAGGATTCTTACTCAAAGAAACACAAGTTTGGTAATAATGGGAACCTTGTTCTATGATTTGTGTCCTGCACTTCACCCTTCCCTCCCTTCATGCCTCGGGATATTTCATTATAGTTTCAAGTACACTCTGCCCCTTGGATAATGGTTCCAAATCCTGTAGGCAACCTGCAGCTTAAACAGGAATGGTGCCTGCACGTGCATTTCACAACCAGTGATTTGGGATGCTCAGGGATAATCAATGTCTTACATGCAGGAGGTAGCTTAATGTGTTCCATACTGATAAATTTTGAGATAATGTCTGTGAGAATCAGTACTCAAATATTGTTTCCTCTTTCAGATGAGAGAAAAAGATCCAGTGAAAGGAATGTCGGCTGCAGATGACTAATATGACTCCTTCCTCGTGCACTGTAGGTATCAAGGGAGTTGGACAAACTCTGTATTGCTCTATTATTTGATAAAAAAAACCCCAGAGAAGTCTAAGTAAGGAATGATCCTGTTTATAGCTGCTGACAGGCAAATCTGTGGTATTGATTGTTTTTATAGTGAACTCGTTTCACTGGCAGGTTGATGAGCGAGTTTACTGTCTCGTTTCAGATCTGTTCTGAAGAAATGTCTGAGTGAGAAGTGTAAGAAAAATGTGTTAGAACATTTTGTAGATTTTGCTGCTGTTCTTATTTCTGTAGTGCATGTGTTACTTCCCATGACTTGAACAGAAAAATTTTGTGTCTCAAAAAAAGAAAGTTGGACCTGCAAATACTTAGATACGGTTGGAAATGGAACATTCCAAGAATATTAGGAAGGAATTTATTTCTTGCATTGCTTGTTAGCAGTATTTACTAATGGGCCAAGGGCTGGAGCAACACTTCACACTGCAGGGGAAGCAGCAATGACAGTTTTAATGCTTTTGACTTGTTCTCTTTCTATTCTGTTAAATTATGTCATCAATTTGGGGCTCAGTTTTGTTGAATTTTTCTCAGACACTGTAGGAGAATGTGGTATAGTGTTAGGGAAGTAAGAAGGCAAGGAGCAAGAAGAGATTGTCCATTTA